CTATTTTCATGCAATTAGGCGCGTGTTTATTTACAAATATAATGTAAGCGAATGACCTTCCTCCACAAATAGCGAATTATTTAATTCCTACGACTGTTTATGTGGAGATATCGTGGCTCTCAAGTAGTTTTATATATTTATTTCAAGGGAGTTTCCTTTCTTCTTTTCTTAAGACCTTTTTTTTATAGTTTGATGATTTTAAAAGGAGTTTAAACTATAACATATGCTCTCTTTATACTTGCAAACCATTAAAAATTATATAAAGTCTTATTGTTATTAGTATAATTAAAAAATATTAATCCCTTGTTTACTTACAATGCAAGCCTTAACGGACTTCCAAAGATTTCTCCCAAAGTCTTCAATCTTGCTGGTTTTTCCCCGTACGTTCGCCAGTTGCACGACGTTATCCTTTGGTTTTGGGGGATGGAAAAATTGGAGGAAGATCGAGAGAGGAGGAATCACTCGTTTAGCTGTTGCCTGAGTCGCTTGGATGTTGCCCGGATACGCAGGATGCGCGGTATAGTCACATTGCCGGGGATCTTTATATGTAATTACGACGCGCACTCGAAATGGAAGAAGGGCTATTGGAGGCTTAACTATTATTTAACTTTGCTAATATTGTTAACTTTGGTTTGGTAGCTAGACGATCTGGTTGTTGTTGTTGTTGTTGCTGCTGCTGCTGGTCCAGGATCTCCCGAATCTCTCTCTCTCCCGAGGGCTGCGGCCCAGGAGCGCCTCACTCGCCCGCAAGCTTGATTTTTTTCTTGACCTTGTAACGACGGTTGCGCTGATCTACCACAAACTCATATCGCGATCTCTGCACATTTTCACTATCCAAACTAGAGCTCAGACCCAGCAGGCGCAGGACTCCTAGCGAATACGTTGTGACTGGATTTTGGTGCCGGATCGGATGCGAATTCCCTTCTGCCCTGTGCAGCAGATTGACTGAATAAGCTTGACTGAAGAGGCGCGCACCTGTCGCGCTTTTATAGGTATCCTGCTCGATCGGCCTCTCGCTCGCTCAAATGCACTTTCAGCTGCAATGCAATTCACACCCACGCTCTCTCTCGCGGTATAGCTGTCTCCCTTGCGCTCGCGCACTACGGCTGCTTGAGGAAGTGAGTCGAAACGAGACGGTATCTGAGCATGTGTCTCTGCGGTTTACGGCTGGAGCTCTTTTCGAAAAGAGTTTTCCCCCTTGCAGCGCCGTCGTTGTTGTTGTTGCAATTATGTAAAGCGTTTGGCTTACTAAAAACTCTATTTGAAAACAGCTTTGGTTTTATTTCGCTGTATGCTTCGTCTACTGTTCACTTTGCTCGCCTTGCAGCTCTGTTTGCCTCGCAATTGTAGTTTCTGTTGTTGTGTGCGACGCGCGTTAGCCGAAAAATCGATATTTTACACTCTCGCGGCACTGGATAAATGAATTTTTCAGCGGTTTGCCCTTGTTTATCTGCTTTTTCAAGGCAGTTTTCCCGAATTAGCAATTAAAACTCCGCTTTTAAAGCACAAAACTACAATTTCAATTGCATTTACTAACACAAACACAGCAGACCGCGAATGAAAAACTTTCCGCTACTTGAACGCACGTTGTGTCACGAAAGAGGCAAAATCAAATGAGAGCCACGAACACTTGGTGGCTCCAAGTGGGAGCACGAAACAGGCAGCGTTTGGCTCTCTTTTACACTCTCTATTGCGGCCGTTCTCTTTGCGCAGACTCTTTTTATCGTTCGAGTCTTTTTTTTCTCCCTCAGTTTAATTATCTAATTCGTTTGGTTAATGCGAATTCTGGATGATGTTTCCTTTCGAGCGGAGTTGTGAAATGGGCGTGTAAATGTGTAAGGGCGTAATGCGCTCGCGCTCTCTATCCTATGCGATGCCTCTGATGCGATGACGTTGCAAACGAAAACTTCTCCCTCTCGCTCTCACTCACTGACTCTTTTGGCTAAATGCTCTTTTGGTTCATTTTTGGTGGCTCAATTGTGGGGCATTTCCATTTCAATGGGCCCTATGACGGCAATTGCATACATTTTTGCATACTGTTTTTCCATAGCTAGAAAGAGAAATAGAAAGAGAGAGAACGAACGGGTTAATTAGGGCTCGTTAATTGGTTTATGCGGGCGCTGACTTTTCCAAATCTCGATTGCACAATTACAATTCACACAAACAGAAGCAACAACAAGTTCAGATTGAGCAATTAGGTTCAATTGGATGCAATTTACCGTTGGGCGATGAAGAGGAAAGAGAGAGAGAGCAAAAGAGAGCTCAATAATTCACGGGTGTCAAGTTCTTATTCCTTTTAATGAACCCCAGCGAACTTTCGAGAAATTCCACAGAAGGGGGAAAGAAAATGAAGAGCAGGGCGAAATGAAATAGTTTCTGCAATTGGCCAGCTCTCAGATTTGCATTTAAATTGACATGGCTGCCAATAAACAAAATTTGATTATGCAAATGCAAAAAGGAAAATGGAAAGCAAACGAGAAGGCTACTAGAGTTTGTTTACGCGAAAATTGCTGGAAATGTAAAGAAAAGTGATAAAACTGCGGACACTGTACTGTACAGTAATAAATTTCAATTTTAATTAAAAACACATTTCCATTTACTTTGCACATTTGCTTGGGTTAGGATGAAAATAAGGTACAAAAATAAGTTTTAAAATTAATTTAAATTAAAAATAATAATTATACATTGTTATACTGTTGCTCGTTTTAATAATTACACAATTTGTATACTTTTCTTAAAAGAATTCTTTATAATGCGGAATGGAATTCTATTAAATATTATGAAAAATTCAAAAAGTTTCTTAAACTGCAATTATATATAAATATAAATAACACCTAAAACCTAGTCCATCCAAAATCAATAAACATTGGGAAATTAAAATCAATACTAGTCCCAAAAGAAAAGCTATAAAATACAGTCGTTAGTCAAATATAATAGAAATTTTTTTGTATTCCTTTTGTTTTTCGTAAATTACCCTAAAACATTAGCCTTGGGTGGAAAACTCATTTAACCTAACCCCTAATCCCCTGATTATTATATATTGATGGCTTCAGCTATATGTTATATGCGATAATAGCCCCATAAAATGACTAATTGATTGATGATGTCTGGCACTTAACCCCAGATGGATATTTTGCGTGTCGGCGGTCTTAAAATAAAACAAAATAAACAAGACATTTTCTCAAATTTAAAAAAAAGAAGCAATTGATGCATATGTACATATGTATGTACATATGTATTAATATGCTTATATATTCGCACATTAAAATGTCTTTGACGTCGCAGAAAAATTCGGCAAAGAGAAAAACAGTTTTTAATGCTCTGCTTTATTCGGAATAAAGAAAATAAATAAAATGACAAAAGCAACGCCGAAAATTGTAAACATTGAAAATAAAATGAAAACATGGCCTGTTTGTGTGTGAGTGAAATTTGGATAAAACGGAACTGGTGACCAACGAACATAGGGAGAACACCCTTAAATTACAAATTTAAAAATAAAGAAAGCCTTTTCTTGTTTGTTAAAGGTTCAAGGTTATTAGAATTATTAAAAAAAATTTCAAATTATATTATTTGAAATTTTCAATTTAATTAAATTTCCAATTCTGTGAAAAACGGAACATCCTAATTTTTAAATATAAATTCAAATTTAAATCACTTTACAGTACAATTGTTTTCCACAGTGCAGCTTTAAAGTACCGTTACCAGTTGCAACACTTGTACCGCCATTTACCTAATTTTTGGCTGATGCTGCTGCTCTCTTCCCTCTGCTGCTTGTTGTTGGTGGCAAGGGCCACAAACTCACTCAAAACGCACGCACTCACACACTCTCACGAACGGATGGGGAATCGCACGGACGCTGAGAGAAAAATAACTGTAAACCACACCGGACGAAGAACCAACATAGAATGAGCGGAAAAATAAAACGTGCTCCCAGCAACGTACGCCACTCCGGGGGAGCAAAGAGAAAGAGAGCGAGACAGACACAAGGAGAGAGATTGCAATTTCTACTGAATGAATGCTTCGCCCGGCTGCCTCTCTCGGCGGCTCTCGCAGTCAACCGAAGAGTTGGCAAGGACGCTGCATACGAACTACCCCACCCCAACCCCCACGGCCCACGCCGTGATAATTAAATATCGCACAAACGCAGCGTTAACAGCGGCGCAGGCTTTGTCGTTAGCTGTTGCTGCGTTCGCTTTGGTCGCATTTCACCGCTTAATGCCTTGGCTCAGGGCGTAAAGCCCCGCCGTAATGTAATGTATGCATGTCCTTGAACGCACACTTTGCCATGCCCCCTGTCCCTGCCCCAAGGCACCGGCCACCTGCCACCCACCACCGACGTTCTAGATTGTTCTGCGCTGCTCTTTTGTGACGTTGGTCGTCCAGAGAAACAAAATCAGGGGACATTTACAGGGATCACAAAATACGATGAAATCGAGGGTATTATAACTTTAGTCAGAAGGTTGCTGAGCAGTGAAGGAGCTTAATACATATGTATATATGTATGTGTGTTCTTGAAGTCGATAAAGCCATGTCCGTCTGTCTTTCTCTCAGTCCGTTTCTACGAAAACTAGTCCCTCAGTTTTTAAGGTATCTGAATTGAATGGTGGAATAGGCCGGATCAAACGACTATATAATATAGCTATTCTAGATTTCAACATATTTTAATCTAATTTAAAGCCCATTTTGTATTAATTTATAATTTCGGTATTAATTTTATTAAAATCGGACAACTTTATAGCTGCCATAGATACGATCGTTAAATGCAGGGGGAAATTCAAAACCTATCCCTATCTCTCTCTCTCTCTCTCTCTCTCTCTCTCTCTCTTAGTTGGTATGTTTCTCTGTGTATCTCAAGCGACATCTCCGCGTCTCTATCTGTCTCTGCTCTAGGGATCTCTAGAATTCTCTTTCTCTCACTCTCACTTTCTCTGCTCTCTTTACTCGGGGACTATAAATACAGGCTCCGCCGTCACTCTGGCCTCATTCTGTCCGTGCCTCCCCAGTGTTTACATCTAGTGGTAGTGGTAGTGATTAGCCTTCGACATCAAAAATATTACTTGACCAGAGCCATACATCTGGATAAAGAGGAAGAAGCTTACTGGAAGGAAGGAAGCAATGAGGAGGCGTGGGGCTCTACTTTGGTAAGTCTTAACAATTACAATTACATCAAGTATATACATATGTATGTAGATGCTATAGAAGAGATCAGGCCTAGGTATTTGTTTTCCAATTTATTCCCCTGTTGCCATGGACCCCATCACTTTACTTAAATTTAAAATATAGTCAAAGTTAAGAGGCCCTTTGCTTTCTGACCCAACATTTTTCCCTGTGTTCGTATCCTCTCATACGTGACACTTGACAGCTTTGCAGGCGAGGAGCAATGGCGGATAATGAAATCGAGAACCCATGCTTGCACACGAACTGAAAAACGGGGATTCGGGACTTTTATAGTCTTGTTGGACGATGGCTCTTATTCCTCTTATTGCTCATTTTGCGGCTCACAAGTCAAGTGAGCTTTGATGGGGTTAAGTTCCTACCCCAGAGATACTTTCACTGATTTACCACTGCTTGCTTGACCAGGGCGCTAAGTGCTATATAAGTTTGTATGTTAAACCCCTTGAATACCATATAATCCCCTTCTGAAAATCTGTATACATTTTTGGACCCATGCCAATTGCCGAACATTTTTAGACAAATCAAAATATGCACGCATACAAGCACAAGTGCATTGCATATTTGGCGAGCCCAAAAATATTGTATATTGTATATTGCAGTTTTCCTGCCAGCTTTCCTCACTTTTCCACTCATTGTTTGGATTTTTCACGAATGATTTATATCTCGTTGAAGGCATTACACAATTATTGAAATAGGGAATTTATTGGGTTATATAAAGTCAATTTCTACGTATGATAAATATGGTAAAATTAAATTCATTTCGATTTATAACCCACTTAGCTGCCACTCTTGAAATAACAAAAGTTTCCAAGGTCAGGGAGGCTATGATTTCACCACCTTTAATGCAAACTTTTAGGGATGTTCCTTTTCAAGGTCGTTTGTACATAGCATACATATGTACTTGTTTTAATTTTATGCAAGGCCGAAGATAAATCCATCTGTCCTTTTGTACATTTATTATTCGAGGTGTATGCAAATAAAATATACGCGTGACAACCCAAAATAGCTGACCCAAAAAGCCAGAGAGCTGCTTTTTCCGGCTATCCCTCCACCCCGTTGCGTATCCGTACCGTGGCCCCTGCCACATCTCTTAATTGTCTCCCCTGTCTAGTCACATTTTTTCGGACATCAGAGGTCCGAGCAACAATTGCCCGCAGACAGTGGGGAGAAGTAGGAGCAGCAGCATCCGTAGATGAGTGGCCATCTCTCGGCCACGTCCATGTCCGCCCCCAACTCCTGGACGCCCCGTTTTGTGAATGGCATCCGAGGATTAAAACATTGCGCAGACTCCGCTCTATTGATTAACTGGGAAGACAGCTCTCTCAGCCATGGCTTGGGGTAGGGCATGGGGAGGATGCCATTGGGGATGAGGATGGGGCTGTGGATGCGGATGTGAAATCAACTGCGTAGTTGGCAAAAGTCAAGCTGCGGGGGTGTTGTGTTTATTTCTTTTTTTTTGTTGGAGGTGTGGCACCTGCTGCCATTTTTGGAGGGACACAAGGTGGCTTCTGACTATACTTAATGCGCAATTTCGCCATAGTTAGATTGTTAGAGGAGGGCCATGTGCTGAAGTGTAGGTCAGTTTGCAAAACTTTCTCTCTCCTTCGTTGTCGTCACGTTAGTCACGCTCTTTTGGTGGCACTGGCTCTCGCTGAATTATAATCGAAAATTGCATGCGAACTCGGGTATCCTTGGCACCAAAATAGTGCATTGCCCCTTGCACTTTTTCACGAAGCTGTCAAGAAAAAAATGCAAGTGACGCGAGCGAAAAAGGGGTTGGACCAGTGGGGTCAGACGTGGGAAATAGAGTCAGTAATATATCTCTTGATAATCAAATTTTACACTTAGCAACCTGAAATGTTACCCCTAAAAAGTTTGTCACCTGAACCATACCCGATCATATCAAAACGTTCTATCTAGAGAGAAACATCAAATTTATTATTTTTATATAGGAGCTAAGAATATTATAGATATACAGAAGAATAACAGCCAAGACATGGTGATTGTGCGCGGGATGTATGAGATAACGGAGCTGGTGGCGGGCTGCATCGGATCCGTGGGTCTCTACATGGCCGGCTGCAATGTGCTGCCCCTGAAGTATGTTCCCGATTTTCCGGCAGCGCTCTTCGTTCTTTCCTCGGTACTTTTAATGCACCATGTCCGCGTTGTGAACTATCCGCCGGTACAGAAGCTATGGCGTTTGCTCTTGGAGCTGGTGGGTCTATATGTCGCCACCCAGGTGTTCGTCGCCATGATTTGGGAGCAGTTTCACGCCCTGTTAGATGTCAGCCGGGATGCCGTGCTCAACACTAGCCTGGGACTGGTATTTCTTAAGCATTTTCCCAGGCTGATTATGTTTGTGCGCCAGGATGTCTGCTACTTTGCCCAACTGGTGCTTTCTGTCGTACTGACCATCAAGGCGTTAAGGTACACCAATACTATAGACTACGTTCTGCCCGAGCGCCGTTTCTACCAGTATTACGAGGGCCAGGCTACGGATGAGGCTTTCACCTACAACCGTGGGAGATCGGCTTCGCAAAGACGGGTCCGTTAACCAGAGGAAATCACCCAGGGGCGGTCATGCATTTCATATATTTCAAGAAACTACGCAAAATTGGACACGTATTACCAAGGCAAATGCTTGCCTAGTGCAGTGCACCCAAAATCAAAGACCTTTGGATATGTTTCATGCTTCAAAGAGCACATTGTACAATCAGCTTTTAATTTTCGCGGGCTAGGTTATAACAATCGATTAACGAACAAGCCAATCGAAATTGAAATGTGTCAGTTTACCATCTCTAGGAGAAGAGAAGATCAGGAAACAAGATCAGACAAAAACAATTAAATTAAAAAACTAGTCCTTATATTTTTGTTTCCTTACGGTAAGGATTGGAATAAAGGGATGGCGTTCCTTTGCCCCGTGCGCATGCGGCGCGACAAGAAGAAAGGTAAGCTAAAAGAACGGCGCAAGAAGTTGGTTTACAAAACGAAAGACTTCAATCACGAACTTGGTACACAGAGATAAATACATATGTGGTGTTTTAAGAATGTTATATAAATGTAGTTCTTATTAAATAAAATTTTGATAAAATTCCAGCTACTAATGCCAGCATCGAGAGGGATCTGCCCGCTGTGGGGGGCCTGGGCATGGGCAGGATAACTGGATCCTCCAGCATCGAAACCCTGGTCCGCGTGGGCATCGAAAAGGAGCACGGACTGAGGTAAGCCCACATATGTAAATATGACATTGATTAGTCCTAATCATCCATTATGCACTCCCATTCAGTCCCGATTCCAAGATGGTGGTGCTGCACGACTTTACGCCCTGCGTGGATGACGAACTGGAGGTAAAGCGGGGACAGCTGGTCAATATCTTGTACAGGGAGAATGACTGGGTCTATGTAATAGGCCAGGATTCACGCCAGGAGGGCTTCATACCCTTCTCCTACTGTGCTCCCTGCAACACTCAGCTGGCCGACTTGGCCGTCAAGAAGAAACTGCCCCGGGAACAGTGTCCCGAGCAGCCAATCGATGAGAACTTGCCGCTCTTGGGAACTGACAATAAATTGGATGTGCTCTGTGATGAGGCATTGAACCCCGGGTCTGCCAACAGCATGGAGAACATACTGCTCGTGGAGCCGGAGTGCACGCCGTTCATTAAGGAACCCTCCGGTCGCTGCATCGTTCTGTACACCTTTATAGCCAGGGACGAGAATGATTTGTCCGTGGAACGGGGAGAGTTTGTCACCGTCCTAAACCGTGAGGATCCCGATTGGTTTTGGATAATGCGCAGCGATGGGCAGGAGGGCTTCGTTCCGGCCAGCTTCATCTATCCAGCGGACAGCGTCCGAGTGTTGCAGCAGCAGAAGGCCACCTTGAGTGCCATGGAGACCATTCTGCAACAGGGCCAGCAGGGACAGCAACAGCAGGGTCAGCAGCAGTCCCAACAGCAGTCCCAACAGCAGCAGCAACCACTGGGATTAGGAACGGATGACTTGCGCTACCATGGCACCGAACTGGTGATGCTGTATGACTACAAGGCGCAGGCTCCCGATGACCTGTACCTTTCGGTTCGTCGTGGGGACTGGATTTATGCCGATCTAAACAATCAAACGGTGGACGGATGGCTTTGGGCTTATGCACCCAAGACCCGCAAATATGGATTTATTCCGAAAGCCTATGCTCGACCGCCTGCCATGACGAGCCTCTGAGAGATACCCTCGTTTTCATTATCACCATAATTAACACATTTCGCTTTAGGTTTACATTTCTTTCCATTCTATATCGTGCCACCGTTCCATTGAGTAATAAATTGTGCCTTAGGTTTATTTTGTATGTGAGCTTGCATAACACATTGTATACATGGGGTTATCTTTGCACTTACATCTAGATGTAATTCATTATCCTAAACTGGTAGGTTTGCCGTAAACGTATATCAAAAATATCTAAGATTGCCTTCCAGTCAGTACCAGTTTGGGCAGCACGTGCTAGCTTCTAGGTCTAGAGATATGAATACTAAAGCACTGACGGAGCGGAGCATGCTCCTCGATATGCACTTGGGTTTGGATTGAATATGGATACGATCCACGATCGGTGCGAGTGCGTAGGGTTATGCTCAGCATAATGTAGTACGCACACGCACATCCAAATGGAGTTTTGGAGGATCTGGGTCTACTTCAAGCCCAGAGGTTCTGCTTCGTTGGCCGAAGAGCAGTGCGAACAGTTGGGATCCATATTTCTGTGAGAGTTATAGTGAATATCTGGCTCGTCAGACGCTGCCCTTCTAATACTCACTTCATAGCCTCCCTGAGCTGCTCCTTCTCGTTCATCTCTTCGCGCAGCTTCTGCTGCAAGCTGAGTATGAGATCGTTTTTGTTCTGTATCTGCATTTTCAAATGAGCAATTGTCTCCTCTTGGGCCTCGAAAATTGCCTAAAAAAGATTAAACATAAGAAACCAGTGTCTTTTTATTATATGTGAGTCCCCATTCATACCCGACACTCCTCCATGGACTCGGAGTACGAGGGCGGCTCATCCAGACAAAAGAACTCCCGCACCAGCTTGCACTTGCGTAGCTCCTCTTTGGCCATAACCGAGTTGACAAAGATCTGCAGGCCCTGCACGCGATTGTCGAGGAAGACGGCATTGAAGTTGTCCCCGAAGAGCTTCTTACGCGGCAGCATGAGTGACAGCTTAGGGAATGACTGCTTTAGCTTGCCATTTAACCGGACAAAGTCTGTGTAGCGCCGCATTACCAGCCAGCAGTCATTTGTCTCCGGGTTCTCCACGCGCAACTTGTATACGGTGAAGCGTGCCCGCTCCTCCATTACCTCGTAACCAATGATGGGCACGCGCAGCACGGCATTGGGATCCACGGGCGGCACCTGGGAGCCCGAGGAAAGCGTCATCTGGCTGGCGAACATTGAGTGAGAGTTGCCGCCAGTTAGGCGCGAGCTGGTCTGACTGTAGCCCAGACTACACTCGCTCATTCGACGCGGTGCCCTGCTGGTTACCTCCAGGTTATCGCCATGGTTTCCACCTGAATGGTGGCCATAAGAAGATTGGGTTAAGTCCCGATGGGAGCGTGCTCCACCCAGCATGGTGGTGGTTCTATTAGAGTTTGGGGACCTGGTTTGCTCGTAGCTGTGTGAGCTTATCCTCTGCAGGCACACCTCCGACTTAGCGTTGGCCGCCGTCAATGTAGCACCAGAGTTTCGCTCCAGAAGGGCTATGCCAACATCCCCCTCCGATTTGCTGCGCAACAGGCTGCTGTTGTTGCCGTTTCGATACTTTTCCACTTGTCGCAGGTCGGGACTCGAGTGGCAGCGGCGGCCCAGAAATTGCCTCTGCCGGAATAGCGTCTGCTTGCCAACCAAGCGACTGTTGGAGCTGCTGCCCAGAGTTTGGGCTAGAGATTTCTTCTTCGGTGACGTCGTTGTTGCTGTGCTGGCCTTCTTGAAAAGCGACGACGATGATGTTTGTGCTTGTGGCGCTTTGGCAGTTCCTGTGCTGTTGTTGCTATTGTTGTGGCTCTTTCGCAGCGCCCGCAGTGACATCGCTTTGTTTGGTTGCTTTAATTCCGACTGCAGCTCTGCGTGCTACATGACTTTTAATATTTTTGTTAAATTCTTCATGAAAGTATGCTGTTGTTGTTGCTTTTGTTTTTCTTTTGTAGTTCACGCAGTGTGACCATCCTCGCTTTCTCTCTTGAGAATTTTCTGACCAGATTCTCTGGACTATCGATAACTAGCTGTAAACAGCTGTCTTCCGAGCGAAAATGGAGCATGCGGTAAATATTTATGTTTATTTTGCAGAAAACTACTACAATTAAGAATTTGTAATAGCACAGCGAGACCAGCGAGCTGATACAAAGACTCGTGAGTCTGAGTTTGACTGAAAATGGCGAGGAAATTGAGGGTATTCTTAAAAACCTGCGTCTGCTTCTGACCCAAAGCCAGGAGAGTCAAGAAACTCTGGCCAGGAGTGCAGAATTTTCAAGTTTTCTCGATGCCGTGTCCTTTAACCCACTGATGCGCACGGAGCATCGAGTGGCGCACAATCTGTCACTGCAGGTGCTGGCCAATAGCGTGGTTAATAATGAGGTTACCCAGAGATTGACATGGAATCTTCACGGCTCTAAGATCGCTGAACAAGCGTATGCTTCTCCGCTGGGCACCCCCAACAACATACTCCTAATGATCATGTACAACATATTCCTGAGTGGTCGCGGTAGTCTAGTCACCGACCAGGTGGCACTCCAGACCTGCGTACGTCTGTGGCGGGCCCTAATTGAGGCTCGGTGCCCCTACAGTCCCGAGTATTTGCACTTCTTTTTGGAACACTTTATCGTGCAGAACGGACGTGCCTGCGTGGCCTGCTACCAGAAACTGGACACGGAGGATCGAATCGCCTTTCTGGACTACGTGGCGCATTACCTGTACAAAAATAGCCCGAATGGTGAGGTCACGCTATTCCTGCTTCAGCACTTTGCCAAAGAGTTCCGCCTGAAATCGGACTGCATCCTCCGGGAAACTCTCAAGCTGAAGCACGAACTGCATCCCCGCGAGGTTCACACTCTCCTTCGGATCATTGCCAGTGTTAGTGGCTCCGAGAAGTACGCCAATGTCTATGCCACCGATCATTCGCTGTTCATAAACGTGAGTAGCCTACTCAGATGCGTGGTGGCTGCGGGCAAGGAACCCGATGGCGGGGGGCTGGACAAGCCAATGACAAAGCTGGAGGAGGTTGCTCTAACCTCAGGCATCGATGCGGGCTACGAGAAGAATGTGTCGTATGAACTGAAAACCCTACTCGTGCGCTGCTCTGCGAATCTTTTGTATGAAAATAAGGAAAATAGGGGTTATTGCCTCGATACACAACTGCTGCCGGCCCTCCTGGAGTGCACTACGATGGATGCCAGGAATCCGTGTAAGATATATGGCTTAGTTATTTTAATTCATTTTCATTTATTTTCTGGGTCTCTAGTAGACTATTTATGATGAAAATAATTTATTTGTGTTGTCCTTTTAAGTTTAAAGAGTTTGACGTAGTTAAAAGAATATTAAAACGTTCAACAATTTGATTTAAATATTTAAAAGCCGAACATAAATTTTTTAGTGATTAGTTAATAATAAGTTCATTCAGCATTTTATTTTAATTACTATTTAAGAGATGCAAATGAGAATATTCATGACAAAATTATGGCCTTTCCTAATTGCATTCTTGGCTTTGAGAAACCATTTACACTTTACAGCTCATAAAACCAATAAGTAATGTTAATTATTAGCAGAAATGCTTTGATTAATTTTCGTTAAGTTACGACTCATAAATTAAAACGCTTTTATCTATTCCGTCCCCCAAAACAGTGATGCGCGAGTGGAGTATCTTGGCCATTCGGAATGCCTGTATCAATTGCCCGGAGGCACAGCAGGTGATTGCCGGTCTAACCATGCAAGGCTCCGCGCCCAATGACACTCTCAGCGAGCTCAACCTGGATATGGGTGCGTTACGCATCTCGGACAGGCGGCAATAGCACACAAAGCAGCACATCCAACAAGTCACGACCACTGGCTGGCTAGCTGGCCCACAACAAGTGGTTAGCTAGCTGTCTTTCGCACCACGTCATCCTCCGCATCCCCCTTACAGTGCGCTAATGGTATGCCAAAACTCAGATCCAACGGCATTCATAAACGCGATGTCAACGGTTTAATGGCACAGTCGACGGAAGAGAGAGAGCGCCGCACGGACGGAGCAATGTCGAATGATGGCTAGCGTGGCTAGCGAGTAGGATATAAAAATAGCTGCCCATGTACCATGCTCTGTGTACCATTAAAGAGAGATGCCTAAATCCATCTAAATTCTAAATTTGTGCACACAGCATCGGCCGAGTCGAGTTGAGTTCATGTTTATGGCGCAATTAAGCAAACGATGACGTCGGTCGGTGCCAGCAACAGCAACAGCCCCAGAGATTCCTGCCACTGGCTACATGCTGCAGGTGGCAGCTCCTCTGCCCCAGTCCACGCCCGCTCCCCAGCGGCGCGTATGTAGAACGATTTTTTATGTTTATGCTGGCTAACAATGGCTGCGCTACGCTACGCCTGCTGCCTGCCTACTGCCTGTTGCCTTTTGTCTTAGCCCGCTCCCCCGAAAGAACGGAAGAAGGCAAAGGCAAACGACAACCACTGGTGGCTAGTAGCCAGTCAGTCTGTGCTCTGCCTTGGCCAGCAGCAGACGGAACCGTGCTGATCGTCGCCCGCCAGGAGCAGCAGCATTCGCCAAGATCGCGCTCTTTCATTCCGTTTCGGGCTTCGCTCGGTATATTTAATTTATTTCGGTTGTTATCGGGCGCTTCGTCTCAGCGATTAACGCCAGCTCATAAAAACTAAACAAATCATTGTTGCGCCCCATAAAGAAAATAATCTGGGCCCCAGAGATCTCCGTTGCATTGTTGCAGCTTTAATGGTAAACATGGCCACGGATCGCATGGCTCTTATATAACGATAAATCAGGACGCCTGTCAGTCGTGGGCTTTTATGACCGAGGAGATGGCAGATCAGATCAGATCCCAAATTCAAATCCGTTTCAGTATCAAAATCAGAATCCGTGCTGGCTGGCATTGGCATTATTTATGCGGGGCATTAATTAAATACACATTTCTCAAAATTCGCGTTCTTTTACGCTTTTATGCCGCGACGGAGGCGGAGGATGAGGATGAGGAATTCAACGTGTTGCGACGACGGTTGTGCTCCTCCTCGGCACATACCAAAAATACAATGGCCGCCGTCACCGCCGCCGCAGACACAGCAAGTAAAACAAAGGCTGAAACACACAAAACAAATAAATAAATAAATAGAGGCGAGCGTTTCGCGTTTATTTCGGTTTTGAAAAAATATATAAAAATTTCGCCCTGTCAAAAGTGTCAATAATCGCGCCCAAAAAATAGAGACAATGAGGTGGGAAATAATGACGGTTGCCCGTCAGAGGAATCTGCCATCTAAAAATAATGGCAAATTGTCTTCAAAAAATATTAGAGGAAGAGGAACGAGAGGGGCTCATTCCATAGAACTCCTTTCATAGCTGGGAAATATCTAAAGTTTTCGATAAACATTATAGTTCTATCCACTCTATCTTCTTCTCCTTCGCCTCTTCCGATGACGCACTTCATGACGCAAGTGGCTGCAGCCCGTGCCCAACTCCTCACAACTGCAACTGCAACGGCCAAGATCTATTCCGGGAATAGATCGCGGAAGTGGAGGAGGAGTTCGTGTGGGTGGAGGAGGAGCAGGAATAGAAGCTGGCGCCGCTTTGCTCCTCTCTTTCTTTTGCTCTGGGTTTTTCCCCCAAGATGACACTTTCGGCAACCCACGGAACAAAGACGGAATAACGAAAATATCATAAATTCGGGAGGCATCCCACATGGCATACAGGCAGCAAGCACTAACAATGTATATAGCACTTGTACACGCCATGCCACCTCCTCCTTCTGCTCCTGATTCTGCTTCTGCTCCACACCCGCCACCCACCCACTCGGGAACTCGGAATAGGCGCACCTAATTCCTAATTCTCGGCAAATATTCCGCGAAGAGGCGAAAATTATTTTGACGAAGGAATTCGCATTTTTGTCATTTATTTTCCGCGGGTCTTTGGACGTGTCCACTAATTTGCTTAATTTCTGTCAAACGAAAAGAAAGAAAATATAAAACTGAGGAAAGGCCTCAGAAAACCGCTTTTCCGAGTGGGAATTTCTGGTCACCGTGGCAACATGTAAATACATAAATAAAATAAAAAACGATTTATCCAAAACAACATAATTAATGGGCACGTTCTTGGAGATTCGCGCGCTGCCTGAGAAAGACCACAGTTTAGGTTAAAAAATAGTTTTTGGTGAGACTGATGCAAGGAAATAAAGTTATTTAGGGGCTAAAGAACCAAACTATTTAAATATCAGAAAAGAAATGACTAAGTGGTTAAAAGAAAATTCTTGTTAACTCGACCTTATGCCAAAAACACGCAATGATTAGAAACGGGCTTATTTATTCACCTGGAATTTCATCGTTCCTCGTTAATCCTCATCATCATTCAATTGTTTTACAACTTTTAGCCCGATTTCTCCGCAGGATTTCAGGATAAAGGACAAAAATTATTGAAAAGCTCCTTTGTCAGTGACACTTTTTATTTTATTTTGTTTTACAAAGAACATTTTCTCTTCTACATAAATATATCCTTAAAACAGAGAATCTTTAATTTCTATAAAAACAACAATATGTAAAAAATATATAGTCCACCGATTCGCCATGCTCCGAATTATATACTTGTAAAATTATATAGAAAAATAACACCATAGTTTCATTCAAATAGCTTGCTCTTTGTTCCAAAACTAACTTCGCACATGTGTGCTTATGATTCCCAACTGTGTTCTAACATCCCCGGAACGAAGTGACTGCTGCCGGCCAAGTATCAGAAATGTGTTGTGTTACAAAAGTTGCAAGTCATTGTTTATTAGTGTCCAAAGTTAGTAACTGATCATACTAGATACTTACTGGTCATAGATACTTACTGTTCAGAGTTACTTACTGGTCATAGATACTTATTGTTCAGAGTTACTTACTGCTTATAGCTACTCACTGTTCATAGTTAATTACTGATCAAAGTTCTATAAATCGTCCGATCGTTCCTATGGCAGCTATATATATGTATATATATATAGTCCACCGATTCGCCATGCTCCGAATTATATACTTGTAAAATTATATAGAAGAATAACTCCATAGTTTCATTCAAATAGCTTGCTCTTTGTTCCAAAACTAACTTCGCACATGTGTGCTTATGATTCCCAACTGTGTTCTAACATCCCCGGAACGAAGTGCCTGCTGCCGGTCAAGTATCAGAAATGTGTTGTGTTACAAAAGTTGCAAGTCATTGTTTATTAGTGTCCAAAGTTAGTAACTGATCATACTACATACTTACTGGTCATAGATACTTACTGTTCAGAGTTACTTACTGCTCATAGATACTTATTGTTCAGAGTTACTTACTGGTCATAGATACTTATTGTTCGGAGTTACTTACTGCTTATAGCTACTCACTGTTCATAGTTAATTACTGATCAAAGTTCTATAAATCGTCCGATCGTTCCTATGGCAGCTATATATATGTATATATATATAGTCCACCGATTCGCCATGCTCCGAATTATATACTTGTAAATTTATATAGAAGAATAACTCCATAGTTTCATTCAAATAGCTTGCTCTTTGTTCCAAAACTAACTTCGCACATGTGTGCTTATGATTCCCAACTGTGTTCTAACATCCCCGGAACGAAGTGACTGCTGCCGGCCAAGTATCAGAAATGTGTTGTTACAAAAGTTGCAAGTCATTGTTTATTAGTGTCCAAAGTTAGTAACTGATCATACTACATACTTACTGGTCATAGATACTTACTGTTCAGAGTTACTTACTGGTCATAGATACTTATTGTTCAGAGTTACTTACTGCTTATAGCTACTCACTGTTCATAGTTAATTACTGATCAAAGTTCTATAAATCGTCCGATCGTTCCTATGGCAGCTATATATATGTATATATATATAGACCACCGATTCGCCATGCTCCGAATTTTATACTTGTAGAATTATATAGAAGAATAACTCCATAGTTTCATTCAAATAGCTTGCTCTTTGTTCCAAAACTAACTTCGCACATGTGTGCTTATGATTCCCAACTGTGTTCTAACATCCCCGGAACGAAGTGACTGCTGCCGGCCAAGTATCAGAAATGTGTTGTGTTACAAAAGTTGCAAGTCATTGTTTATTAGTGTCCAAAGTTAGTAACTGATCATACTAGATACTTACTTGTCATAGATACTTACTGTTCAGAGTTACTTACTGGTCATAGATACTTATTGTTCAGAGTTACTTACTGCTTATAGCTACTCACTGTTCATAGTTAATTATTGATCAAAGTTCTATAAATCGTCCGATCGTTCCTATGGCAGCTATATATATGTATATATATATAGACCACCGATTCGCCATGCTCCGAATTATATACTAGTAAAATTATATAGAAGAATAACTCCATAGTTTCATTCAAATAGCTTGCTCTTTGTTACAAAACTAACTTCGCACATGTGTGCTTATGATTCCCAACTGTGTTCTAACATCCCCGGAACGAAGTGACTGCTGCCGGCCAAGTATCAGAAATGTGTTGTGTTACAAAAGTTGCAAGTCATAAGTCATAAAAGTTGCTGATCATACTACATACTTACTGGTCATAAAAACTTACTGTTCAGAGTTACTTACTGGTCATAGATACTTATTGTTCAAAGTTACTTACTGGTCATAGATACTTACCGTTCAGAGTTACTTACTGGTCATAGATACTTATTGTTCAGAGTTACTTACTGCTCATAGATACTTATTGTTCAGAGTTACTTACTGCTTATAGCTACTCACTGTTTATAGTTAATTACTGATCAAAGTTCTATAAATCGTCCGATCGTTCCTATGGCAGCTATATATATGTATATATATATAGTCCACCGATTCGCCATGCTCCGAATTATATACTAGTAAAATTATATAGAAGAATAACTCCATAGTTTCATTCAAATAGCTTGCTCTTTGTTCCAAAACTAACTTCGCACATGTGTGCTTATGATTCCCAACTGTGTTCTAACATCCCCGGAACGAAGTGAGTGCTGCCGGCCAAGTATCAGAAATGTGTTGTGTTACAAAAGTTGCAAGTCATTGTTTATTAGTGTGCAAAGTTAGTAACTGATCATATTACATACTTACTGGTCATAGATACTTACTGTTCAAATCTACTTACTGGCCATACATACTTAGTGGTCATAGATACTTACTGTTGAAAGATACTTACTGATCATCCACATTTAGCAACCATTTCTATGGCATTTATATTATATAGTTTAATCAGTACTATTTTTAAGGCTTAACATAACATAACGTAAATATACACAAAATCATAATGATAGTGAGTTTAAATAATATTACTGATTTATTTTCGAATACTGAAATTTCTTGTTTTACCCTTCGCTATATGTTTAGCATAAAAATAAACTATATTGTTTAAATTAGAGACAGATCTGGGAATGGGGCAGGTTGTCCGATGGCCTGACCGATGTGTAGGCATGGTAAAAACACCTGCCGGACGATGGAAACGGTCGTGGCGCCCAAGAATGTCCCACATGTGTGTGCGATGTGTGTCCGCATGACTTCATTTGCCTACAGAGAGCAATAAAAGCTGGTTAAACCCGCCACCATCTCTCCCATTCAGCACTCTTACACTGTCTTGTATTGTCTGCTCTGCCCACCAGGAACGTGCGCTGTTCCATGTGCGTGTGGATTGCCCGTTGTCAACGTCCAGAGAGCCCTAGGAGGGGAAGATAGTCTGATCCAACTGAACCAGAATGAAGCGCGACCTGTCCACGTCGACCATCGGCCGGGATGAGGCCCGGCGGCCGCTGATGGAGGCATACATGTTCCAGCGTCGAGTCCTGCTCGGCTGCAGTCTGCTGATGGTGGTTTCTCTGCTCATCTGGATAGTGGCCATTTCCACCGATCACTGGATTATTATATCAGGAGGAAAAGGTAAGTTTACGCCTTCTCTAACGGATCAACTGAAATATAGTATCCCATTCCGTTGAAGGCATTTTCATCCCGGAATCGCGACGCTTCTTTATGTCCTCGCACTCGGGTCTGTGGCGTCACTGCCGAAACACCATAGTGCCCAATGCTATGAGCAACGCCCAGGTGGTGCGCAACTTCAGTTCCATGTCCTACACCTCGCAGACGAACATTAACGAGGCGAAGCGGAATCTCTCACACATGGATTTTATTAAGAAGTTTGCCCAGGAGCCGCTGGAGTCGTCAGATAACTTCACGGAGGCGGCGCGCCGTCATATGTTTGCCCATTGGGCGCGGGGAGAAGACGAAGGCTTCCAAACAATGCGTACTGCCTTCCGCAATCTTGTGATGAACACGGAGGACAATCAGCGGCAGATCAATGCCACGGCAAACAAACCCATACCCATCGATCCGCTGGATGTCAAGGGCATTATTGCGAGGAACACCTTCGGTTCGGCGCTGCAGCGGGTTAAGTACAACAACACCTGGTCGTACTATGTAATTCCCGAGGTGGCCCAGCTGGCCATCTTCGCCAACTGGACGGACTATCCGCTAGTGGTGCGTCTGCTGGGCACCTACATCCGTGACATTGGTATTCCTGCCTACGTCCTGAATGACGAGCGGGTGATCCTGATCCTAGTGCCGCCACTGCCGCCGAAGCGAGGCGGACAGACCGCCTTCTACAGCTATATACCGAATCGTGAGTCGGATGCTCCATTATTTTTATGTATATCTCTATATCCATCCTGCCCTAGAGCGCTGCAAGTACATCGACATGTTCCCTAACTCCAATGCCCTGCGCAACGAGCCGGGCTTCGATGACGAACTAATGGGTAGGTACTCCCACATACACTCTATCTTCCACACTCCCAACTGAAGGACGACGGCTCATAATTGGCAGTCACTTGGTACTCCCTTTCAGACTACATCCGGACGCAGGCATCGTTTGCCTGCATCACCCTGTTCGTGATGAGCCTGGGAGCGGTCTTCTCCTTCTACACCTTCATGAATCCACGGTATATGTTCAAGCGCCTGGCTGGCGGGATCCATCTGGTGGCCGCCTCCACGGCGCTGGTGGTGATCCAGGTGCTCTTCTCCTCGATTGACTACACCAAGGATCATCTCTTCTACGCGTATCCCGATGGCGCCGAACTGACGTGAGTGATATATAGGGAGAAATAACAAATTTCTGAGGAACATCTTTATTTCTAGCTATGGATACGGAGTGTACTTGGCCTGGTTTACGTTCGTGGACAATATTATGTGCGGTGTTATGTTCCTCTGGTACTCGGGCAAAAAGAAGGGAGCCAAAGCTCCGAACGACGAAGTAGCAATGGCCGATGAGCCAACCATTATGGGCAGATAACGCTCTAGGGGCCACGATGACAGGACATCCCATTGGACGTGTCCTCCTAAAACCAAAGACAAAGCAATTGACGTTGCTTTTCATTTCACTTTTGTTATTTGTTTGTTTTCCTAATGGCTGTATCTAAAATGTTCGCTTTATAACTATAAGAATCTCAAGGGCAATAAAGGAATTATTTTCAGTCAGTGGACCAATCGTTTCCGGAAATTTAAATCCCGATTGCTTCACAAGTTATCGGTATCGGTAACGATAAGAATAGATGTGGGGTTAGGTCGTTAATTTAATATTCTATTGCTAATTTTTTATATATATACTAGCTGACCCGGCAGACTTCGTACTGCCTCATCGTGAGAGATTTTAATTTTTGTTTAAAAACTCTGGCGGTTATGTCATGTCTATCAACTGGTGTTTGGCTATGTAGTAATTCCTTCTTGATTTCGGACCATTTTGGGTTACATGTGAATGTAACAAATAAGTCTGGGCGGCCATAATGCCAGAAACTAAAGAGCGTAAAGGATCTGGTGGTGGGACCAATTGTGGCAATTTTACTTTGCCTTCAGCACAACATAATCCAGTAGATTCACCAGTGTATTTTAACGCCTTACAATATTTACAAATTGTTTTCATTTCCCCAATTGTTACTGATTTGTCGGCACAATAATCAATTGCCGGATCATAGTGGAATGCAGCTCGTTCAAGAATCACAGGAGCACTGCGTCTGCGGATTCGCTCAATTTCATTATGTCTAGCTTGCTGTTGTTGTGTTTGATGTGCACGAACTCGTTGCATTCTAAGCCTATCTCCTACATTGTCACTCACTAAAGAACGCAATTCTGACATAGCAATACGACTATTTTCTTGATCTCTCTGTCTCTGGTCATCAGTGCGGTTAGCACGTGAGGTAGCTCTTCGCACATTTGATTGACTACGATGACCTACGTTAGGTCGTCTTCTCCTCGGCATCGTAAATTGTAATTGAGAAAATTTCCCACTTATTTAGCAGTAAAGTGTCACTATCACAAAAAAGAGCACATTACTTGGAATGTCACTATCACAAAGGATCACCAAAGTAAAGAAAGTTCTCGCGCACGTAGCCACAAAGATAGAAGGATGCACTCATAGATATCGTAACTCGTAACACAATATAATATCGTAATACAATATTCTTTGTTTCTCCATTCTCCGCGTAAATATAAAGACTTTTTGGTTTTCCGACTCGTGAACACGCAACATATAATTGTCCGTGTGAAAAACAATCTTCATCCAAATCCAGACCACACAACTCCAGAGATTGACCTTGAGCTTTATTTATGGTCATTGCAAACGCCAAACGAATGGGAAACTGCAATCTCTTGAACTGCAACGGTGTATCTGTCGGGATCATAGGAATCCTAGAAATGAGGACATCTTCACCTTTGAAAGGACCACTTATGATCGTTGCTTCTACTATGTTGTTCATCAATTTCTTGACTGCGAGTCGCGTACCGTTGCAGAGTTTCGGCTGATTTATATTCCGGAGCATGATAATCGGCACACCTATTTTTAATTTCAATATGTGTGGTGGCATTCCAGGCAGATCAAGTGAGTTTAGAAATTCGGTAGGGTAATTAACTGCTTCCTCTGCTTCCACAACGGTATCTATCGACTTATATGTAATTTCGTCAGTTTCTATGCTTTTTTGGATTACATGATTGAGCTGGTAGACATCTTTGTTCTTGGCAGCGAGAATCGCTCGTCCACTGAGCCAATCGTGATTCCTATAATTTATTCGGATATTGGGGAACACTTTTTGGATAAGTTCTTCCTTCGATGTAACTAAATTACAGAAATTCCCGGGCAATACTATTTTTCTCGACGTCTCATTGACTGGCAGCTTTCCGTTCCCAATGTCCAGTAGCTGTCGTGAGAATACGTCGGCTGAGTCATTGTTCTGTAACTGGACACGCATATTCGTGTTCAACTGTAATGTACGTACATGTTTCCACAATATAGAATATTTCAGGCAAGCATTTATCTCGTCAGCTGGTGTCGATCGGGAAATCACAGGCAACGTTTGTCTGAAATCCCCTGCGAGCAATATTAACGCGTTCCCATGCATTGCTCTCAGCCGCTCAGTCTCTCGGAAGGAGGCCCGTTCTTCGTCAGTCATATTCGTAATCTTACGTCTTTTTGCTTCTGTATTGCGAATACAACGACCCAATCTCGACTTTTTTGGTGGCATGACTTCGTTTCTTACTGAACCTGAACAAAAAATAAAATTTGTATCTCCAATTTCTTCTTTCAATATGTTTTTAATGTTTGACAGGAAATGCTTTGATTTGCTTGTAGAGGGCGCAGTAGTAGGGGCACGGGGAAACGCTAAAAAAATAGATATATTCGCAGCTGCAGATAAGCTATCAACATCAAAAGTAGTCAATAACCGAGCTGGAACCTCAACGCATGTTCTCTAAAAATTTGGGCATAAACGGTTCAGAACTTTTCAAGTTTCTTCTTTCAATATGTTTTGAATGTTTGACAGGAAATGCTTTGATTCAGCTGGCTGCCTGTAGATGGCGCAGCAGTAGGGTCACTTGGAAACGCTAAGGGTGGACTACCCCTAACATTTAGGGGATGAAAAATAGATGTTGGCCTATTCTCATAGATACCGGATAAGAACAAAAAATTTCATCAAAATCGGTCAAGCCGTTTCGGAGGAGTAAGGGCACGAAAACTGTGACACGAGAATTTTATATATTAGATATATGACTTTTAGCAATCATTCGAATTTTGCCATCTTGTGCACACAAGATCGAAAATTATTTTTTTATCGATAAATACAATTCTGTGGACCCCCATTGAAATTTGTTGGCTCCCTCCATGCGAATCAGCTGTTAAGCTGTTTACGTGCCTTCAATTTGGAAATAAACACATTTAAAAACATTAATTATCAAATAAAACCGATTTAATTACTTAAAAATATTATATTTCTGGTGTCCTGCCGCTGAACAACAACTACCCCATTAGTTAATGTTTAAAATACATACGCCAACATAAAATTAACAATATGGTAAGTAAATACCGTACTAACACGCTTTTATTATGCCTATATTAACAATTACAACGCTTTCAGGATGCACTTGAACCGGATGTGTTTACCTCCCAAACGAAGGAACTAACCGCAGAGGAGAGGCAAAAACTGGAGGACCAAAACAAACGTGGTTTCGTGACCGAATTTAAGGCCAACAAGTTGGAAATTGATGCCCAAAGAAACTGGGACATATTCTACAAGCGGAATGAAACGCGCTTCTTCAAGGACCGCCACTGGACCACGAGGGAGTTCAAAGAACTGCTAGACCAGGAAACAAGCAGCGACAAGCGGACGCTCTTGGAAGTAGGCTGCGGTGTCGGAAACCTCGTGTTCCCGCTACTCGAGGAGCAGACCAGCGAGGAAGGTTGCTTCAGTAGCGGCAGATTCTACTTTTACGCCTGCGACTTCTCACCCCGAGCCGTTGACTTTGTGCGCTCCAATCCGTTGTACAATCCCAGCCAGATAACCGCGTTTCAGTGCGACATCACGACGCAACAGGTGCACGAGCACATACCGGAAGGAAGCCTCGATGTCTGCACCATGATCTTTGTACTTTCGGCCATACATCCACACAAATTTGGGGATGTGGTGCTAAATCTGTGGAAATTACTGAAGCCAGGCGGACTGGTGCTGTTCAGGGACTACGGGCTGTACGACATGGCGCAGCTCCGCTTTAAGCCGGGCAACAAGATAGCCGAGAATCTGTACGTTCGTCAGGAAGGGACCCGCAGCTACTTCTTCTCCGAGCAGGAGGTATCTCAGCTATTCCAAGCCAATGGCTTCGAGATAATAAACAATGCCTATGTGCATCGGCGGACACTCAATCTCAAGGAGGGCGTGGACGTGCCGCGCATCTTCCTGCAGGGTAAGTTCCGAAAGAAGAACGAAGAGTTACGTATTTAGTTGTTGTATTTATTTTAAATCAATAACATGGTTCAAGTCAACGTTCAATAAATATTTGTATGTATATATTAGTTTACTCATGCCTGTATATATTTATATATATGCTAATAAGTGACAGAACTAATCCGGTTTCCTGTAGAATTCAATTGAAGTTACCTGGTGGACCCAACGATGGCCGAATGTATGTCTGCTGCCTTGCCTTAAAACAAGTGAAATGCACCGGGGATGTGTGTGTGTGTGTATCTGTTTCTGCTGCTCCCCGAAAATGGAGCATCGTTTTTTCCTCTAATTTGAGGCAATTTGCATGCAGCAGAGAGTTTTGTGTATATAACTGTTGTGACGTCCTAGCAACACTTAGCCTAACCAACAATTGGGCTTTGGAATATATGATAGATAATACATACATGCGCACGAACAACTAAGGAAACCCATCATCAAATTTAACAAATTCAAACGATCCTTAATCCATAAAGTCGAATCAACTGTCCCGCCGCCTCCGGCTCCCGTTACGGATAATACACAGTGGTTGAGGTGGCGAATACATATATAGTAGGGGCGGCGAAGGAGTAGCTGGCTCAAACGATCCTTAATCCTTCACCACCGCCGGAGCCCTTGCAATGGTTGTAAGTATATATATACTTGATACTTGAATTTGGCTAATCGGTTTGCACACTCTATTCCGCCGTCGCCGCTGTCAGGCCGTGCTCGGTCAGCTTGCCGCCGTTGCTGCTGCTGTGGCCCAGCGGCGCCATTTCGATGCTGGAGTCGAAACTCTTGGTGAGCAGGTCACTGCTGGTCACCGAGTTGGTGGTGCTGCTCAGCGCGGGCAGGGGTGTGACATTCACTGCCATTACTCCATCGTTGAGGTCGCTGTCCACACTGAAACTGTTGCTTCCATTCTCGTTGATCAGCGAAAGCGTCTGCAGGGGCAGGACATCGCCGGCTGTTGGTTGCATCCCTACATCCCCACTTGTAGAGTTCGCACTGGGAGTTTCCGCCTGCAACTGGAGCAACGAATTGCGCTGCGTGTGTTTGTCGAACTTGCGCTGCGGCGGCTTTGGCGGCTCCTTGTCCTTTTCCTTCTCCTTATCCTTGGACTTCTTGAAGCCGGCAATGAGCGCCTTGTGTGCCTGCGCCTTAATCCCCTCCATGCTGGGTCGCATGATGGATGTACGCGATCCGGAGCTCTCCTTCTCCTTTGTCGATGGGGACTCCTTAGAGCCGGGCTCTGCCTCCTCCGTCACGCTGGCCAGCTGCTGCGGCGCCTGTTGCATGGTAAGGTCTTGCACCTGGATGGGTATGTCGTCGGGCAGTTTTTTCGTACGGAAGGAGGCGTTCGTAATCATGGATTTTGACACAGATGTGGTCACTGTCGTGGTGGCCGGCGTCAAGGCCACACTGAGGCCCATGGGGCCGTCGTTGGGCTGACCGGAAGGATTGGCGTGTAGCGAGTTGCGCACCGCACTGGTCACCAGGATCAGCTCCGAGTACATCTCATAGGTGGCCCGGTTGTGGATGTCGTCCAGCGTCTGAATGGCTATCGTGCCATAGCCATTAAACATGGCAAAATAAATGGCGTGAACCAGCTCGATAAGGAAGGCGGCGGACAGAGGAATGCGTGGCGAGGAGGGCTTGGGGAAGGGGGTTCCCGTTGCCGGATCGGAGCTGCAAATGGAAAAGGGTAACTACACAAGCTTATCCTTTTGTGAGGCTCTCCGATATTTACCCATAGCTCATGCGGTGGCCGTGGCCTGACTTCGTGGTGAAGCCCTGGTTGACCAGCTGCGACGTAACGCGGCAAAGGTGGAGCAGCGAGGACTTCTGCGTCTGGCTAACCTGCTGGTTGTAGCAGAAGAGCAGCGCCGTGAGGATGCGCATGCGGTTCTGGGCGTGTATTGACTCGATGCGCTGGTGCGGACCCCACTTGACCTCCCGATTACAGTTCTCCTCCCATCGCCGCAGGTCCGTCATGGGCAGGTTTTTCAGCTCGTGGTAGACGGACGTCTGGGCCAGGATAGGCATGCGGAAGGCCACCACGCGCTGGCCGCCATCGTCGGTGGACACCTCGCCGTTGTAAATGCAGATGAGCAGCGTCTCCACGCCGCGGGCCGCCTTCTTATCGCCCCCGGCCACCGAGTGCAGGTACGTGTAGATTAGCACCGGAATGAACTGCAGCGGAAACTTGTGTAGGGTTAACTCCGGCGAGCGGTAAAAGGCCAGCAGCTGCTGGCAGATGTCGTGCACCATCGCCTCATTGCGTTGCCGCTCGTTGAAAATGGTGAAGATGGCCTCAGCAATCTCCGGGTCCGTTTCATGCTCCACTACGAAGGCTTCCGCCTCGGCCGGCTGGCCCCGCGTCCGCTGGTAGTCCGCCAGCCAGTCCCGCACCAGTTCAGCCATCGTCCTCACCTACAGCAGCTGCAGCAACGGTCTGGAATCATAGTGTAACAGAAAATCCACTGCCAATGTCAGACGTTCAGGCCTTCAGTCATCGTTGCCTATACGCACCTTGACCCTGGTTGGCAGCTGGGAATCTAGCAATAGCTGCTGCTTCTGTGCTTGCGAGTCAAGTTCAGGTGTCTTATATCCGGAGCGCCGCGGGTTATGTGGTAGCAGTGGCTAATTAATTTATCACCCGTCTCTCCGCTGCTGCTCCCTCTTAATTTTTTTCCCCAAATAAACCAGGGCTGCAGTGCATTGATTATGGACAGGGCTGGCTCGTAGTCTTTGCAAGCCCTGGTTGGTTCAGTGCTGCCAGACTTTTGAATTTTAAATTGATAAGGCGGTCAATGAAAAAAAACCAGATATTTGAAAATTTAATAAAAAAAAATTAAAGATAATTCTCAATTCTATAAATGCGTTGTAGGTTATTTATTGCATTACTATTTTCCTTATTTACTTATGCTTGATTACACATATTATAGTACATATATTTATTGCTTCCATGTAATTTTGCTTGGTACGTATTTTCTAATGAGTACATATTTTAGTCGCACTCTTGTAAATAACACTAAAATGGGAGCATATTCCTCTTACTTAAATCTAGTTTTAAATTTGAGTTATCAATCTAATAGAGGTCTTTTGTGGCATAAAGCATTGCTGGATTTAAAGGATGGACTAGTTATGGCACGCTAATTTCTTAAAATGTCAAGCTATTTAAAAAAATAATGGGGTCACTTCATCATTCTCTTCACAATGTCCACGGGAAAGGGGAAGACATATGATCTGGTCTGATCGTTGCATATGGTGTTCAGTGTTTGCAGATAGCGAAGTTGCAGAGAAATCGGATTGGTCTCCATGATGTCTGCCGCCTCTTTTAGCGCCGTAACTGCATCCCGTTCGCCCTGGGCGGCGGCCACTTTGGCCTTGGCCTCTCGCATCGCCTCCTGCTCTACAGCCAGGGCGCGTTTAAGTTGTTCGGGCATGAAGATCTCCTTGCTAGTAGATGATAGATCATTGGGCATTAGATAGTCGGGGAAAAAACCGGTATTAATTACATTTCTACGCGCTCAACACGCACGCCCCACGCCTCCGTGGTAGTGTACAGAATGGCCTCAATCTGACTGGATAAATACTCCTTGGAAGCCAGCAGATCCATTAGCTTGTGCGTGCCGGCCACGTTCCGAAGTGTGGTCATGGAAAGCTTCTCAACGGCGTCCTGGGCATCCGACACCTGCATTATCGCATCGTACGGACTCTTGATGCTGAAGTACACCACTCCATCAATGCTGATAGTCACCATGTCCCGCGTAAGGATCTCCTGCCGTTCCAAGCTGAATGAACTGGTGCGCATGTCCACTATACGCAGTACGTCTATGCAGGGCACTAGGAAAATAACGCCGGGTCCGCAAGGCTTCGGTCGCAAGCGACCCAGGCGCATCACCACGCCACGTTGGAACTCGTTCAAGACCCTGATGCAGCACAAGAGGGACCAGGGCAACAGAATGGCGATCATAATGAGGGACAGCACGTAAAAGGTCTTCTCCATGCAACTGGGAGGTACATTCTCGGCTGGCGAACACTGCGATTAGTCTCGAACTGCGCGGCCGATACGGGGAAAACTCACACGTTTTCACATTTCGTTGCGGCAATGGCGATTCGTCGTGAAAGATATTCAGCGAGGAGCTCTGAGCCAGAACCCCTGGTTCAGGCTCTGTGGATTTCTTCTCCATTACAGTGGATTTAGAAAAGTGATAGTGTATTATTCTAGGATTATGTCAACGTGAGCAATGAATTCGTCCAAAATGACAGCAAAAGGAAACGCTCACGACTTTGGCTAGTTGCTGGAGAAGGAATGGATTCCGTTTCGGTATCGCTAGCTAGGCGAATAATGCATATCCTGGGCCGGCTCCACGCGGCTTCGGGGCCGCCAAACCTCTAGCAAACGCATCATGAAATGGGCTACCACAAAAAACACCAAGAACCAGGATCCGTGCTGCCACACTGCGTACACCAGCTCGCTGGTGGTAAAGGAACGCTCCTGCATAACGCGATCGTAGACCTTTACGGTGCGCAGGGCTACATCCTCCCAGTTGTAGAGCGTCTCCACCAGCTCGTTGCATCTGTATGGACAAAGCACTGGCTTTGTGTGGCCCTTCTGGTCCAAGACCGTTTGGGGCAGTTGGGTCGTGGAAGTGGTAGTTGATTTCGTCTTGTTTACCTTATTTCGTCGCCGCTTTCCGCGTCCATTGGCCTCCGTTGGCACGTGACCATTTGCCACCGAAGTCGCAGGAGGATTGACTTTAAACGAGCACCTCAGATGCCTCTCGATGGCCACTAAAATGCCAGTGTATATGGCGTCAATTTCCGGCTCTGCCAGCAGTATCAAGCTTTTGGGCAGAACCTCTGGAATGCCGCCGACACTGGTGGAGACTACCTGCAGCCCGCAGGCGGCTGCCTCAACGATAGCCATGCAGTAGGCCTCCGTTAGAGACGTATTCACGAAGATGTGGCCTCGCACTAGGTGGTCACGCACTTGGGAATGCTCCACAGCACCCACCATTTCCACTCGGTTTTGCATGTTTGACTTCTCGCGAATCTCCTCCAGCAGATCCCGCTTCGGGCCGTCGCCCACAATTATGAAGTGCACATAAGGCATGTTCTTGAAACGCGGAATAATGCCTGCTAATAGATCAATGCCTTTCCGGTAGACGAGGCGTGAGGCCACCACAATATTAACTGCGAAAAGTAAGGATTAACTTGACAATATGACCGTTGTGCTTTATTTGCTTACTCGTTCCATTACTGGGTCGCTGTTGAGGATCGGGGGTAAACAAGGCAGTGTCGACAGCATTGGGAATAACCGACACACGGTGCTTGGCCACTCGGGCTCTCAAGACCGTGTTCTCCTTGCCGATGTGCGACACACATATAGCATGGTTGACCATGCCCAGGTTTACCTCCAGCAGGTTATTGGTCAGGGCAGCCGAGAGATCCGCGAAGCCAAACAAACTGTGATCAGTGAAGACAGTCTGGAAGAAAGACGAAAAAGAGAATTAGTTTAAGAATTCCCTTTGCTGTTTGAGGCTAACCTTCAAGCCGAGCAGGGACCCCACCATCAGCGCCTCATGGGCCAAAGCGCTGAAGGCCGAGTGCCCGTGGACCACGTCAACGCGCTCTCGCAGCAGCACCGCCCTTAGCATGGGCACATTGCAGACGGCAGTGGGCAAGATGCACTGGTTGTAGCAAACTTTGATGGGCAGATAGTAGACCTTCATGCCGCCCGTTACGTAGCGGACGCCACTGCAGTCTCCATATGCGTGGGTCAGCACCACAACCTATTGCTTAGAGGCTTAATAAAATCATTATATTTGTGGGTCGCTTCCAACTCGCCTTGTGGCCCTGCCTAAGCAGCATTTGCGATAGGTTGTACACGTGCTCCTCCACGCCGCCGATGCTCGGGTAGAAGAAGTCCGACACCATGCAGATCCGCATCTTTCAGTCTTTATCTCTTCCTCCAGATGAAAAGTTCTCATTCCTTGAAATCAAGCCTAAAAAAATTGTCAAACAAAATTAACATAAATGCTGGTAGTGTGACCAGATCTTTAACAACTAACAGACTTAAAACAGCTGATTGATTGATTGCCAGAACAGCCCTCTCGATATATCGATACAATCACGAGAGCCCACTCACGAATCGTTGCACTGTTGGGAAAAGTTTTGTGTGTTTTTTGTTGCGTTTTCTTCTTCATGGCTGAAACATGCAGAATTCCAAGGCCAAAATGGACGAATTCAAGAGCAAATTCATGGACCTGCTGCACAAACAGGTAACCAGTAGCAAAATGGCTGTGTAATGGCCGGAAGTAATCAGTTTCCCATCCTGCTATTGTCTTGTTCCGCCCACCAAAATCACGCACACATAGACGAACCGACAAATGAAAATTCCTGCCATGGGCTTTTCGGATTACTTCATCCAAACGGTGACCACGGACACCTCGCCCAGCCATGAAGCGGATGCCACGGATGCGGCCACCGCCGCGGGACAAACAAACGCACAAAAGTCGGACCAGGAAATCCTGGAGGGCATAGAGCAGTGCTACTACAGCCCCGACAGCAACCCACAGCTGTACGAGCTCAAGGTAAGCAGGTGCTGGCAGCTGTGACAAGCCACTGATTAACTGCTCCATACGATCTCCCGCAGAAAGTTCTCAACGACGGCATCGATAACGAGCTCATCGAGGTCACAATTGCACAACTGCGCACCCAGCAGAAGGTTCTGACCAAACAGGTTCTGCAGAACATACTGGAGCAGAGAAATGCTTGCAGCAGTGAGTTCGCGGCCATCAACGACACCCAGAAGAAGCTGGAGGAGTCACTGTGGACGTGTCAGAAGGCGAGATCCTACCTGAACTTCGCTCGGACCAACCTGACTACCACGAGCCTAGAGATTCTGGCCAGCTATCGCAAGCGAGAGGTGCTCAAGGAGGTGTTGGACACCCTGGTGGCTATCAAGAAGCTGGTTAGAGGTGATATTAAACATTCTGTAGCCCAATTTAATCCTAAAGTCCTTCCAGCGCACCACCGACGTGGAGGTGCAAAAGCTGCTGGCGGACCACAACTACAGCGCTGCTATCGCCCTGCTGCTGCAGTGCAAGAGCTCGGCGGAGGCCTACATGCAGTTCAACTGCGTGCAATCGCTCTCCAAGAAGCTGCAAGAGACCATGCTGCTTATGGAGTTCCAACTGGACACCGTGCTCAACGAGATGGTCCTCGGCTTTGATGGTCGGAAGTATGCCAAGCTGCAGGAGGCCTACAAACTGGCCAACAAGTCGCTAATGGCAATGGACCAGCTGCACATCAACTACATCTCGGCTATACACTCTTCGGTGAACGCCGTGCTGCGCGGATACAGCGATCCCGGCCAGGATGACCAGGCCAAACCGCTCTACGAACAGCTGTGCGAGCAGCTGAGTGTGGAGAAGCTACTGCCCTGTTTAATCAGTCTGTGCAAAACATTTTGGACCATTCTAGCCTCCTACTACCAGGTGGTGATGTGGCACAACAACTACAAACTGTATGGACAGGACGACGAGGACTCACCCGATGTTTACATTCAGCAGAAGCTGAAAAAGGGACAGTCGCGCGTGTGGAACGACATTCTGACCAAGGTGTGCCTGTTCCTGCAGGCGGCCAAGCTGAAGACGCTCAAGTACGACCAGTTCATCCAGGTGCTGTCCGTGGTGCAGCGCCTAAAGAAGGTTGGCTTGGAGTTCTGTGGCGAGCAATCGGAGAAGTTAATTGAGACAATGGAACAGCAGACCGAGGAGTTCTTCCGGCGCTATCACATCTGTTGTGTGGAGGAGATCTGTCTGTTCCTGGACAACGAGTCCTGGACGCCGGTGGACTCTTTTGCGCACATTCTTCAATTGCCTGTGAGATCCAAGATACTGAATTGTGTTGATTGGAACTTCGAATTCTGAAGCTAACCCTTGATTCTCTACAGGACTTCCGGTCGGTCCGTCACACTCTGAGACGCCACAAATCTCCGACAACGGCCTTGCTGGCCTCCTCCTCCAATAATTCTCCCATCAGTAACAATAACTGCGACGAGCTAGTGTCCGTGCACTCCCAGGATGGTGGCGGTAGCTCTATCTACGGTTCCTATGGCTACTTTTTACGCTTCTCTGAAAAGAGTTCGCCCTTTGACGGCGGCCTGGACGCTGCCATGCTGGAGGAGGACATTCTCTCGGGCATTGTGGACGAGGCTTCGTGTTACTTCAGCGAGGAGAGCGACGACGAGCAGAAGAGCCTTCAGAGCAAGGAATTGACGACACCAACAAGTAGGAGTAGAGTCTTGATCTGCCTAAAGCATTTTATATGGTATTCATCTTTCCATAGCCAACTGCTGGTGAACAATACCGCCTTGAATGTGCTACGCTGCATTGGGAGATATCTGCAGATGTGCAAGCTTTTGCACTGCATCTCGCCGAAGATAGTGGCCAGCATGCTGGAGCTGATTGACTTTTACGCGTATGCCGTGCACGAGATCTTTGGCAAGGACGCGGTATGTAATTCTTTTGCTTTAATTCTTCAATCTTACTGAAATCTAAACCCTTTCCAGCTGGTGGCCACAGATAATTTGCATACGCCGCGGCTGGAGCAACGTATGCGTGCGGTGGAGGTTAATGTCCTGCCTCAAATCAAGCTATGGCCCCTCAACTTTTCCTCACTGGTAGGATTCTCATTGAGCAAATCTATGAGTTCCAGTTTTATTTGTTAAGTTCATTTGCAGGCCAACAACGAGCTTGCCAACCCTGACACACTGTACGGGCTCTCCCAGCGCATCGTGGCGGTGGAGGCGGGACGCAGCATGCTTCAGCAGTTTCACATTCTTCAGAATTATCTCAACCATTTACTGCCGCTCGCCGAGCGTCCCGCATTGAGCAGCTACTTGGAGTACACTGAGTATATGGCGGATCTGGCCAAACCCGTTTACACGTGCGTCACTTCGCGCGTCATCGATCTGTCGGCGATTCTGGCCCAGATGGCCAAGGTCAAGTGGGATGTGAATCATGTGATACACCAGCACAGCAGCTACAGCGATGTGCTGAACAGAGTAAGGAGCGGACAAGCCTTGGGTACAAGTAGCTAATTACAAATACTTACTTGCAGAACATACAGAGCTTCGCCATGTGCCTGGAGGAAATCGCCAAGGAGGTACCGGTGCCCAGCAAACCCGTGTGGAATTCCATGGCCCATGTGGCCACCCATCTGCTGGTGGAGGGGTGCGACTAAATGTTATTCTATATTCTCAATGCGATTTATAATTTTCAATTTTTAAAGGTTCTCCAATGTGAAGAAATGCTCGGCGGGCGGACGAGCTCTCATGCAGCTGGACTTTGCTAACTTTATGTCGTTCCTCGAGCTTATCTCGAACCAGAAGTACCCGCAGCACCGCTCCTACGTGGATGTGTTCATCAAGACCTACTACTTTGCGCCCGAGCAGTTCGAGGAGTGGATCGAACAGCAGCGCCTGGCCGACGAGTACTCCACGAAACAGCTAACCAATCTGATTCAGTGCATCTGTGTCAGCGACAAACGGACGCGCCAAAGGTTGCTGCAACTCCTCGATGGCGGTATAAGCAATGGCAATGGCTTGGCCATGTCACCACAGAAGAACAACTCGGAATCCGTTTCCGGCTCGAATCTAAGCAGCGTTATCTGAGCTCCTCTTGAATATCATTTTATATTATTTATTTTGTTATAACCCGCGGCTAACCCTGTTGTTAGTAGATCAATCTCGTGACATTCTCTCTGTGTATTTAACATTCCGTTTAGTGCAAATTAACCTTGTGTTTAGGCTTAAAGATTTATGATACCTTAGTTTTACGGGCGATCTCCATGATGTACTTCTTTTCGAACTTCGAATCTCTCTCTCCGTGAACCGTTTATTTAATCCTGACTCCTTGAGTGCAATCTGTTCTTTATTCTTCTTTGCTCTCTCAGATGCAACGTGACTTAAGTACCTTGAGAAAGCAGATAAACATACATATATATATATATAATTATATACACGCAAAACACTATGATTAAGATGCATGCCTGAATACCTATTTATTTTTACCACCTATTTTGTAATATTTATTTGCAGCAGGAAACAATGGACAAATAATTGTAAATCAACTCAAATGCAACACGAACACACACAAAGCATAAACTAACTATTTAATAACTGTAACTACACTAGCAAAGATTACATATTTTGAGATATGCATATTACAAACAGTAAGCAAGTTCGTTCTTTATCCTTGGGGGATGATGGATTCAAATTAACATAATCACATATACACAAATTTTTGTGTCAGCATTTAACTGTCAAATTCAAACAAAATCAAAACGAATAGGAGTAAACTACACAGTTCACTTAATAATACGGAACCGTCCGGATGTCTTTTGTGTTTTTCAATCGTTGACTCTGAAACGTGCTTTGTTGTCTCTCAGACAACGGACCTAGATCATTTTTAATAAGTTTGTTCTTCGTCTCCTTGAAACGGAGGCAGGTGGTGCCATTGATTTGCTCGGAGCCCGCCAAATCGCAGAACTTGTAAAACTTCGGGTGTTGTTCTATTGTACTGGAGTATGTCTACGTGAAGCCTCAGTGCACGATGCTGGACTGGTCGCCCATCGAGGTGGTGTGAATCTGCAATTTGTACAGTGGAGTGTCTTTGCAAATGGTAGGAATGTTGTCCCGCCCTGCGTGTTCTCCAGTTCTTTCCTGTGAAAAGCATATTTGTGGTCCAATCTTGTTTTCCAAAGATTAACTGTCGTTTTGAATTTCAATTCGAATTTCAACCGACAGGGCTCAGACTATCGATAAGAGCTATCGGAAACACTGTAGCCCTGGTGTTAGCTCTCAGAACAGTTGCCAGCCCTAGCGAGGTGCATGAAAATTAGCGCGAAAGGAAGCCAAAACATAAAATCCTTTGTTAACAGGGTACGGCGCAGCATGGAAAACCAAATAAACTCGGATATGAACAAGCGGGAGATGCGCTCATTCCTGGTTGCCCGCGAACCCTCCATCGACCGCCGCTATCGCCCGCGCCCCAACAAAAAGATGCGTCTGTTTGAACACATCCAGGAGTCGGAGGAGGAGAGCTTTTCCGAAGGGTCGGAAACTGAATCGGAGTACACGGCGAGTGGCGTCGATACTGCGTCCACCGCAACGAGCAACGCCGAGAGTACGAGCCTGGAGACGGGGCCTCAAGTCTTCCTGCGCTTGCGTCCCGTTAACGAATCCTCAAAGGCGTATTCAATCTCAGATGATGGGAACGTGCTCATCACCAGCTACAAGGTGGACTCGACCAGCAACAATGTGAACCGCATGGAGAAGCATTTCGGCTTCACCTCAATCTTCGATAGCTATGTGGACCAGCGCGACATTTACGACATTTGCGTGGGCCCCAGGATCTGCGAGGAAGAGTGCGTGACCATTATGACCTACGGCACATCGGGATCTGGAAAAACCTACACACTGCTTGGTAAGTACGTCTGTACCTCGCTTTTCTTCGCTCATTAATAAATCAAAAACTTCCTTAGGTGATGATGTGAGCGCTGGCATTATTCCCCGTGCCCTGGAGAATATTTTCACCATCTGCAAAGACTCGGTGTACCACTCACCCAAGCTAAAGCTGATCAATGGCTGCATTGTCTTTCTGCAGGACGACGCCTCCCTTAAGGAGCTGCAGATTCGCAAAAAGCTGCTGGATCTGAGTCCTGACATGGGCGCCCCTTACCAGCGGCTAAGGCAGATGATTAACGATGATCACACGTTCGAGACAAAGCAGACCAGTGACGAGTCCGTTCTGATTTGGGTATCCTTTGTGGAAATCTATAACGAGCTGGTGCACGATCTGTTGGCCATCCCACCGAAACAGACAAAGATGGTTGAGGGCCACGTAAGAACCTTAAGGTCGTCTGCAATAAGGGCCATGTGTTCGTCAAGGGTCTGACTAGTGTCTTTGTAAAGAGCAGCGAGGAAGCGCTAAGATTACTGCGCTTGGGCCAACAACGTTCCACATACGCCGCCACCTCGGTGAATGCCAATTCCAGCCGATCGCATTGCGTCTTTACCGTAGACATACTCAAGTACAACCGATCGGGCATCACCACACAGAGTTCGTACAAGTTCTGCGACTTGGCGGGCTCCGAGCGAGTAAACAACACTGGCACCACTGGCCTCCGACTCAAGGAAGCCAAGAACATCAACACATCACTAATGGTTCTGGGCCGTTGCCTGGATGCGGCTAGCACGGCTCAGAAGAAGAAAAACGCCGATGTCATTCCATATCGGGACTCCAAGCTTACGATGCTGCTGCAGGCGGCGCTGTTGGGCAAGGAGAAGCTGGCAATGATCGTCACGGTCACTCCTGTGGACAAATACTATGAGGAGAATCTGAATGTACTGAACTTCGCATCAATTGCAAAGAATATTGTGTTCAAGGAGCCGGTAATCAAGCAGCATCGTATCAGCTACGCCGGATTCATGGAGTTTTCGAAAATGGCATCTGACGAGGGCGGCAACGAGTACACAAAGGAGCTGGAGGATGAGATCGTCAACCTTCAGCTGGAGGTTGAGCGCCTTAAGCACGATCATGTGTTGCAGATGCAGTTGCTGGAAGAGAAGCTGCGCAAGGAATTGACCGAAACGTACCAGGAGATAATCCAGAACAACAAGAAACAGCACGAGGATGAGTGCGAGAAGAGACTGCTGATTGCTGGACGGGAAGCAGAGTTCAAGGTTCGTCAAGCTTTTACAAAATATGTTGCAAATATTAATCACCGATGTTCTGCAGCTCTCCGCTCAAAAGCGTCGCTATGAGGAGCAAATCGAAGACCTTAAGGACGAGATTGAAGACCTTAAGAATCCCACCAGTGGCAGGGAAAGTGGGGATGAAGACCCTGATGAGTCAGGGTCACCCATCGAGATCATCGATGACGATGAGTAGTTTATATATATATTTTAAATCTTAATCGTTAAAGTTCTTTATGTTAATTTGCTCCATAATTGTTGATAAAATTAATTGAATTGTCGAATAAATGTGTGAATCCAAGTCTTTTCCAGATCATTTCCAGCAAGAAGACTAGCGAGGAAACAGCCACGAGCACTTCGTAGGCCAGCCACACCCATTGCAGATCGTCCAGCCGCAGTGCAGCACATCCCTTCACATCTTCCGTAAGACTGGGATCCTCTAGGCCGGCCAAACCCGCCTCCGTCATATCGTAGTGATGCATTCCCACCCAGAACTGGTACAACCCATTGGCCCTTATCTCCAGTATCAGCTTACTGACTGGCTCAGCGAGCCAGGAACTCTGCGGCCACTGAAACGAGAGCAGGGCCAGCGACCAAAGGCAAGCGTCTGTGGAGTATATGAAGAGCTGCCGGGTGAACCGCTTCTGCTGCTCATTGAAGAGCGTCCAGTGTAGTCGTGAGGCGAAGTAGGCACTGCTTGCGTTACCGCCACTCCTCAAGTGGTGGTACTCACTCACATTGACGACCAAGAGGTTGAGGTGCTTGTCCACCACTGTGTGCAAGTCCTCGGGCGTGGTCACCAGGGGCATTCGTGTTCGCCGCAGATCAGAGAAGCTTTGCGCCTGAAACTCCCGCGGGGGATGTGCCATCATGGTCTCTAGAGCCGCTTCGAAGATACTGCTTACGTTGAGACCCACGATACCAAGCATCAGGTAGATACATCGACTAGAATTGCCTCTCCTTGGCCAGGACAGCATGAAGGACTGGCCCAGAACCCCACGCAAAGCCCTATCGTTCAGCAGGAAATCTACGAGACGGACATTGTCGCTCCTCAACACTCGAAGTAAGCACAAAACCAAGCCAAATGCATAAACAATGGTCACAGCCAGAATCATATTGGTAGCGCTGCTCAGGTGCCAGTAGATGTCCTTCAGCGGAATCTCCTGGGCCACGGGTATCATCAGGCAAATGTGGGTCAGCTCAAGAGGATAGCTTGTGCGTGGCAACTGGTCTTCTCGCTCCAGCATCGACATACTCGCCGAGACATCAATGCAGATTTCTTTGTCCAGCTCGCGAAGTTCGTTCGTTTGAAGGAACCGTCCGGGAGTGACCTCCTCAGTCAACTGCAGTGTGGCGTTCAGTTTCCAGGCCAAAACGTGAATGAAACGTCCCACGGATCCGGCCAGGATTTTATTACCCGTGCGTCTGTTCACATACAGGATCGAGCGCGGCAACCATTGGTCGGGAATCACAATCAGTGGATGACCCTGCATGTTGGGTGATTGCTTTTCAAAGATGTGGGATGATTGTAAGGGCTTTTGTTCCGTTCGAAAGATAGGATATCGGTGATATCTGTAGAAGTATATCCGCTCATCGGAAGCCGAGAGGCAAACTACGTTTTGAATACGAAAATCATAACTGGCTTGAAAAAGAGCGTCCATTCTATTACGATCTGATGAACTGTTGGCTAAATACAATACAACATGTTGTTGGGGAAACCCCTCCAGTGAAGTGGCCAAATTTTGGAGTAATTTACGATCAAATTGCAGCTCACGTCCAGGCAAACACAGAACATGCAAAGGTCGGGAGAACTGCTGGAGTATCGGGTGAGCATCTATGGCTGAGCGTATTACCACCGGAATTTTGGGATTTCCAAAGATATCCGTTAACCAGGATGCGGGACAGTAGTCATTGTAGATTACCAGCACAGAAAGCGAAGATTCCCGAAAGATTAATTCTACGGGAGAGCCACAGGCAGCCCTGATTAAAACGGGTATGCAAGCGAGGATGAACTTCAGAGCTGTCCACATGGTAGGCCTTTCCACTTATGGTTGTCTCTTGATAGCCGCAATTACTTATATTGTTGGTGAATTCCTCCAAGTCATTCCGCCGTAAAAGAAGGCGTTATCCCAAAGAACAAAGGACTCTTAAACGCCCTCCAATGACAAGGCGATATATAATATTCATTGTTAGTTTAGTTAAAGTTGCTTAATAGCTAGTTAAGGGTGTGTTCGAGCATTTGGTAGTGGTAGCATTCCTGAAATGCCGTCTCGCCTGGAAAGTGATTATGCTAATACCCAGTTCACTGACTTCGTTATCGCTCCTTCTCCGGTTCTGACCACATGTACAAGTGTAAGTTTTTGCAGAATCGGCAAATAATTAGGTGACAAATATCGGTGGCAATGTTTAATGTTTGGTTAACAAGTCTGGGCCGCCCTGTCCCCAAATATTTACCAGCCAATTAATTGCTGTTGTTTGCTCCCCGCTCTCGAGTCAGATTCTTTTTATTGGGGGCCGTGAGGCACCTAAATAAGGTGGTTTTTTTTTTTTCAGATCAGAGAGATAAGTGCTCGGAGCGAAGAGAGCAATGACAATACCTTTCTCAAAAGAAAGCATTTCCATTAGGAGACCACCCTATAAACTTGAGCTGTCTGGGTAAACAATTTGGCGAAAGAGCATTTGTTTTCACTCAGCAAATATTGTTGTAATAAAACTTCTTAATGAATGGAAATTGCGCGTTTAGTTTGTAGTTATATATATTTCTTTTGAGTTCATTTAATTACAACTGCAATAAAGCACTACAATTACCTAAGAACTTGATAGCCATCGACTGGATTTGTTATCTGTCTGCGAAGATAGGCTGCTGCAAAAGAGCAAACCATGTTCTTATCTATGTATATATATAAATTTTCCATAATGAAACAAAAATGAAGCTTGCTTGGGGAAGCCAAGCAAAAATCAATCATAACTAAGCCAAAAATTCATTTATTTTAATTCGGAAAGCTTTCCTATGTTAGTTTTTATTGGTTTAACAAATCTGTATACTCAATATAAAATGTTAAAAAATTTAATTTTTTTATAAAATTTATAAAAATTATATTTTTTTTATAAAATGTTCAAAAATTAAAAAATATATATTTTCTTCCCAATACGGTTAGATCGATCCGTCTGTTCCTGCTGATCAAAAATATATATAATTAATGGGGTCGGAAATGGCTCCTTCCCTGAGCTGCAACATCCTGACTGTATAGGTATATAAACGCTCATTTGTAGGCTATATATAAAAAGCTAGCTGTCAATTTAGCAAAGTAGTGTTGGAAAGCTTTGAACAACTTTGACATGTGTCTGAAAATGACAGTGCAATTTCTGAAGCGTCATCATAAAATTTACTGGCGGTGCATTATTTAAATAATTTTAGTAGCAAGAGTAAGTTTTTTCTTCAGTAAAGGTTACATGCTTGATTTTTCTTAAATACTTTTTCCATGGTTTAGAAGATGTCTGATCAATTGGAATCGGTGGAAATGGACTGCTCGGAGGAAATAGTTTCCGCTGAGGAACCGGAAACCTCTGGCAATCCGGAAGCGGATGATAACACCTTTAAGGTGCCCTTGCCGCCGAAGCTCGATAGTCCGGGCTACGCCGCGAAGAACACCTTATCCGGACACACGTTATGCGTCACGTCCGTAAAGTTCCGTCCGGATGGCGAGCAGCTGGTCAGCGGCTCGGCGGACAAGCTCCTGCTGCTGTGGGACGTTAAGACGGCCAAGTCCCAGCAATCGATGTCGGGGCACACGGTGGGAATCAATGATTTGGCCTGGTCGCAGGAACACCACTTGGCCAGCTGCAGCGACGACAAGACCGTGCGTCTGTGGGATCATCGCATTGAAAAGTGTCAAAAAGTCCTGGAAGGGCACAGCCGGCAAGTTTTCGCGTGCCGCTTCAATCCATCGGGAAACTTGCTGGCCTCCTGCAGCTACGATGAAACAGTTCGCCTGTGGGATGTACGCACGACCCGGACCCTCAAGGTGGTGACAGCTCATCAGGATCCCATTACCTCGCTGGACTTCAACCGCGATGGCACTCTCTTTGCAACCAGCAGCTTTGACGGTCTGATCCGCGTGTGGGACACAGCCTCCTTTCAGCTGCTAAAGACGCTTATCGATTCCGACAACTCGCCTGTGGGCTATGTTAAGTTCTCACCCAACGGCCGATATGTGCTGGCCTCCACTCTCAACTCCACCCTGAGGCTGTGGAACTTCTTCAAGGCGAAGTGCCTGCGCTCCTACCGCGGCCATGTGAACGAGGCCTACTGCATCAATTCAAACTTCTCGATCACGGGCGGCATCTGGATCGTGTCTGGCAGCGAGGACAAGTCGCTATGCATCTGGAAGCTACAGACCAAGGAGCTGGTTCAGAAGGCGGATACCGAGGGCGACCAGGTGATCTGCACCGACTGTCATCCCAAGGAGAATGTGATAGCCACCGGGGCCCTGCAGAACGGCTTCACCGTCAAGCTGTGGAAGAGCAGCGAGGAGACTCCTTCGGTTCAGTCATAAGAAATGGTTCGGTTCTCAAGAAATTGGAGTAAGATTGAGTTAGGATAGGATAGCCTTTGATGTGGCTTTATTAATGTGCCCTCTGTTCTGCGGAGCAAGTGCCAAAGTTATCTCTGTAATTGTTGATCGCGGGAATATAACTTGGCTAACAAGATAAGCTGCCTCGGTTACTGGAACTGGCACTTGTTAGTACCTGCTCTTGTAAATCATATATGGCCAACACACGAGCGGCAGTGCAATACCGCTCACGAGCGTCGCCGACGTCTTTCTCGGCGGCAGTCGCGTTTAGAGCGGCGTACTGAGCGGTTGCCTAAGCTCACGGTATCGTTATATTGATTGCCCGATCTCCGATCGTGCTCAGTTAGTTTTCCGAACGCGGAACACTCGCATCTCCGCTATGAGGGCCAACGAGGGTGAGTAACTGGTCCCCCTGGGGTTTTCCGGCTGCGCATTCTCAGGGTCAGTGTGCATTGCGGATTTATGACAAGAAAGTGGGTCTGTAATCGGAGTGTTTGCCTATGTTCAAATACGTGCCAATTCATAAAATAGTATCTCAAGGAGGGGGTCTTATCTCCGTGGGGTAGTCCAGTCTACCGGTTCCCAACCGATAAGATGACCAGGCCAATGTCAATAAAAACAAGTTCGCCAGATGTCCGAGCCCAGTTGCTGCCAGGGAAGATTAGCTTTTGAGGAAGAGGAGGGGTTATCGCACTGGTGGACACTGATCGAAAAGCTTCTATGGCTTCACAGATAATCTCTATCGGGAGCAGTTGCCCAGCCTTGGCTCCCTTATCAGGGATGGAGGTCGCAAGCTGTGTCGGCCGGCGACCGTGACCAGCAAGTTCCCGATCCTCAGCTGGCTGCCTCGTTACCGGCTGGAGTACATCATGCAGGACTTTATCGCTGGCTTCACCGTGGGCCTAACCACCATCCCGCAGGCGATCGCCTATGGCGTGGTGGCCGGCCTAGAGCCGCAGTACGGCTTGTACTCGGCGTTCATGGGATGCTTCACCTACATCGTTTTCGGCTCCTGCAAGGATGTCACCATTGGTAAGTGATTATATTTTGTTGAGTTGAGTAAGGGTGCTAATTTTCTATTGCTTCTTGTGTAGCCACCACTGCCATCATGGCCCTGATGGTCAACCAGTATGCCACCATCAGTCCGGATTATGCTGTTCTCGTATGCTTCCTGGCTGGCTGCATTGTCCTGCTGCTCGGCCTGCTCAACATGGGTGTGCTGGTGCGCTTCATCTCGATCCCCGTGATCACAGGCTTCACCATGGCGGCGGCCACCACGATAGGCAGTGCCCAGATTAACAATATTGTGGGACTGGCCAGTAAGTATGGGTTAGGTACTCCATATACATTAAAATTTTATAAATCCATGTACTTAACAGGTCCTTCGAATGACTTGCTGCCCGCCTGGAAGAACTTCTTCACGCACTTGGACTCTATAAGGATCTGGGACGCCTTACTGGGTATCTCTTCACTTGTTTTCCTGCTTCTCATGACGGTAAATATATAAATTAATACCGATCACACTCTTCACTTTAAACCTCTAGAGGACCTAGTAATTATTGAAATATATTGCCAACAGCTCGTCAAGGACATCAAGTGGGGCAATCGCATATTCTGGAAGTACTTAGGCCTCTCACGCAATGCCCTGGCCGTGATCTTTGGCACCTTCCTAGCCTACATCCTGAGCAGAGATGGAAATCAACCCTTCCGGGTCACCGGCAACATTACAGCCGGAGTGCCGCCCTTTCGATTGCCACCCTTCAGCACCACCGTGGATGGAGAGTACGTGTCCTTTGGCGATATGATCAGCACAGTGGGCGCTTCATTGGGTTCCATTCCGCTGATCTCGATTCTGGAAATTGTGGCTATATCGAAGGCATTTTGTAGGTTCCTATAGGTTTTCTTCCTTTTCTTTTCTAATTAAGAAGAATTTTTCATTTCCAGCCAAAGGAAAGATTGTGGATGCCTCGCAGGAGATGGTGGCTCTGGGCATGTGTAACATCATGGGCAGCTTCGTGCTGTCCATGCCCGTGACCGGATCCTTCACCCGCACTGCTGTGAATAATGCCAGCGGAGTGAAGACACCTCTGGGAGGAGCAGTAACTGGCACCTTGGTGCTCATGGCCCTGGCATTCCTCACCCAAACCTTTTACTTTATACCCAAGTGCACCCTGGCTGCCATCATTATAGCGGCCATGATATCCCTGGTGGAGCTGCACAAGATCAAGGACATGTGGCTGTCGAAGAGTAAGCTTACATTTTAGCAATTGTAATTGTGTTAAAAATTCCACAATAACATATTCCAGAGAAGGACCTGTTTCCCTTTACGGTCACCCTTATCACATGCATGTTCTGGAGCTTGGAGTATGGTATTCTGTGCGGCATTGCTGCCAATATGGTGTACATCCTCTACAGCAGTGCACGTCCTCAGGTGGACATCAATTTGGTGAAGGTCAATGGCCATGAAGTGGGTCTGGTGGATGTAAAACAGAAGCTGGACTATGCTTCTGCAGAGTACCTCAAGGAGAAGGTAGTCCGCTTCCTTAACCACCAGAACGGAGAGACCCAGTTGGTGGTCATTCGAGGCGAGGAGATCAACTCTATCGACTACACAGTCGCTATGGTAACTAGCTTTAATCGACTGATTAATCCTGTGGGTAATCTCAACTTATTCCTTCCTAGAACATTGTCACCATGAAGGGCGATCTAGAGGCCCTAAATTGCGCCATGATCTGCTGGAACTGGAACATTGCGTCAGCCGGTGTGGTCTGCCGCCTGAAGACTGACCTGAGGCCCATCTTTAAGTTCGATGTGACGCTGGAGGAGGTGGTGGCCGGACACTTTGATAGTCCCTCTCACACAGCGTCCACCGTGACCATGGAGGCATAGAAAACTTAGGTTTTACTAAGATCAAAGCTGAAAGTATTACCTCAAGATCACAACTAAATAGAGTCGCATTTAAGAACATAATACCCACTCGAGAGGCGACAACTTGTCTGTCCAGGGGAAGAGCCAGGGCTCTAGGACTACGTGTGGAAAGTGGACGAGAAATTCCTGGGAGAAACCGAAGAGGCATTATGTCACAATAGTTGGACAGGGGAATTAATTGAGCAGTAAACCGCAGAATGCCCAGACTCGCAGACTGCCTGTCTGCCTTTCCTCGGACCTTTCTCCGAACCTCTGTCAGCGGGGAAAGTAATTTATGGCCGTTTATGGCCGCCACTTCACATCGAGCGGCCTGCACGATGGAAGGAGGAGATTCCCTGCAAACCAAAAGAAAACGAGTTCTTGGAAGCCAGACACACAGTCTCATCTTTATTTATTAGCCTTGGACTCCGATGCATAATTACCGAGAACCCGTTGGCCGGTGGGATCGAATGGGCTGCGCAAGTGGCAGTCGGCGCGGTACCTCTTGCCCAAGATATCCACCTCGTATTCCCCGCCCTTGATGTACTCGACATCGATGAGCTGGCCATCGGGTCGGGAGATGTAGGCCTGACCCAGGGACTTGCCCAGAGTATAGGCATACTCTGCACGGCGAAGAATGCCCACCGGTTCACCGTTGCGGTAGACTCCCTCCAGGCCCCATATGGGCACCTGATCCTGGAGTGTCAGGTAGACCAGGCGCTTCTTCAAGCCCTCCGATCGCTGTTTTTCAATGGCCGCCTTGCCCCGGTAGTCAGCTCCGTTGCGGCGACAGGTGAATCCCAAACCAGCCTCCAGGGGAGTGTCATCCGGCCGAAGATCGAAGCTCCACAGATGGTAGCCCTTCTCGCTGCTGAGCGAGTACAGCGAGCGGTAGCCAGCATTGCGCAGATCCTGCCCAGCTCCCGCCTTCATTAGGTTCCTATAGACCGCGACACAGTCCTTCTTGGGCACATGGAGTTCGTAGCCCAGTTCGCCCACGAAGCTCACCCGGAGCAGACGCACGCCCACATCCCCAAAGGTGGCCAGTCGTGTGCTGTTCGGGGGCACCTGCTCGTCGGATAGATCACAGTCGATCAGGGGCTGAAGGATGTTCCGGCTGTTGGGTCCCTGGATGGAGATGACACCCAGCTCGGCCGTCAAGTCCTTGAGATTGGCATTGAATCCCTTCCTCCGGATCTCGGCCTGGAGAGCGCTGTACGTGTAAAAGGCTGAGGCGCCGCCAGCCACAATATAGTATCCCTGACCATTGATTTTGGGATCGTGGACTTGTCCGGAGCCAGACTCTAGACGGGAAATGGTTACGTCCGCCTCTACGCCACCAGTATCATTGAGGGCGCAGGTGTAAACGGTTCTGGGAATAAGGAAAAATGGATACAGGGGTCCGGAGGGTATTGCTTGAAACTCACTTGCTGGGCTCTCGATTCGTGTTGGCGGAGAAGAGCCAATCGGCGGCCTCCTGGGCCTGAGGACCATCTAGAAGCAGCTTGGCGAAGTAGCTCATGTTGAAGACGACGGCGTTGTTGCGGCAGGCCAAGGCCTCCGATCCGATCTGAACGAAAAGAGTGTTTTTATATAATCTGTGTAACCATAAGAAATTCCTTCCACTTACCAATTCATGATGCTCCGAGAACCTACTGTAGTGCAAATCGCCGTCCAGCACCCGCTCGTACTCGCTGTCCTGGATCCTTTGATGGCCATAGCTGCCATACCAGTCGTAGGGCAGAACCACCGCCTTTTTGGAGTTGGGCGGAAGGAAGAAGCCAGGCCTCTCCCAGCCTTGCTTCTCCTCCATTACTGCGCCCGCCTGCATCATTTCGTCGTGGAGCGGATCCTTTTGGAAGTCACGTCCCGCCAAGGGCTGGTCATATTTGAACACCATGCTATAGTTCTTCACATAACTCTCGTGCGACTTCTCCCTGATCCATTGCGTGGCCTTGCCCTGCTCCTGGGTGAAGCGTCGCAGATCGAAACCGAACATGGGCAGGTCCGGCTGTCCCTTGGTGACCCAGAGGGCCGTCTGCTCGCCACACCCGCCGCCGAACATCATGCCCGCCGAGTTGAAGCCGCAGTTGTGGTAGAGCCCGCTCAGAACGGGATCGGGACCCATGAGGGGCTTGTGGTCGGGCGTGAAGGATTCGGGACCACACACCGTGCTCTTGACTCCGTACTTGGCATAGCTGGGACACAATTTCTGGGCGCCCTCCACATGGGCCTCGAACACGGACCAGTCCAGCTCGTAGAGGCCAAAGTGGAAGTCCTTGGGCACTGGGTCCAGGAGTATGGGATTCGGCTCATAGCCACCCATGCAAATGGCATCGCCCTGAATCCGGAAGTAGGTGGAATAATCGTGATCCCTGATATTGGGCAGTCCGCGCACGCCGGGAATCGACTCGGACACAATGTAGGCATGCTTCATTGGCACCAGCGGCAGGTGGGAGCCGTGCCTGGCCACCAGATCGCGTCCCCAAACGCCTGTGGCATTCACCACCTTCTCGGACCTGATATCGCCAAAGGAAGTGGACACACCCACTACCTTCTTACCCTTGGAGGTCTGTTCCAGGAGGAGGTCATCCACGCCACAGTTCTCTATCACCTGGGCGCCCAGATTGGTGGCTGCTTTCTTGAGAGCCGCACAGAGCATGGCAGGATCCATGACACCATCGCCGGGTGAGTAGAGGGCTCCCACAAAGGCCGAGGGATCGAGGAGGGGAAACAGCTTCTGGGTCTCCTCTGGATTCAGCACCTGATTCTCAATGCCCAGAGCAGAGCCCACCGTGGCCAGCCTTCGGTACTCGTCCAGTCGCGTTTCGTTGTGCGCGATGAAGATGCCTCCGTTTTGTATCCAACCCGGATCTAGACCCGTTTCCTCCTCCAATTGCTGCAGCATCCGGCGCGAATTGGCCAGCAGCTGGATGTCCACATCGTTGGGACGAAGGCGCCACAACAGGCCGGCGGTGTGCCAGGTGGTGCCAGCCGTGAGTTGGGCACGCTCCAGGAGCACGGCCTTGACACCGCGTCGGGCCAGGTGGTATAAAGTGTGGCAGCCGGCGGACCCGCCGCCAATCACCACCACATCCGCCGATGAGGGCAGCGATCCACTGGGCTCCTTTCGTGGTGCTCCTCCTTCTCCCACTCCTCTGGTTTGCTTGCTCATCCCCCGGCGGGATGCCTGCTGCAGGATGCGTTGGCGCCACATTTCGAGCTGCTACCGCGCGCCACAACTCAAGATTTTAAACTGAATTTTGTGAAATCAGAATACAATCCGCCAGCGGTAATCTCCCCCTGAATGGGTCTGATGAACCCCATGGGTCAGCATCCTGATAAACCTTATGACGTCTTGGCTACAGTCTGAGGGCCTAATCAAGGCTAAAGCTCTCTCTAGATTCCTTATCAGGGGGGTGTGCCTGCCAAGCAGTAAAATTAGTTCGGATTAGGTCAAAAAACAATTTAATCGTAGCGATTTGAGTTTATATATAGAATTGTTTTTCAATTCGTTTCGATTTTAAATTTTGGATTTTAAATTATGATTAAAATTGATTTAAAAATGGGATTGCGACAAATAAACTGTAGATTTTAAGGGTTTCAAACAGTTTATTTCATCAGTTTACACTTTCAAAAATTGATATTTTCAAGGTTTTGAAATCGTATATTAAATGTCTTATAATTTTTAGGAAATAATCTTTAAGAGTTTTTAATGCTCACTTTCACATTAATAATTTAATTTTCTATATCAATCCAATATCATAAAACATATGAGTTGATAGCATAGAAAGAACTCAGTTAAAGACTAAAAAATTAGGCCCCAATTCGTTTGACATACAGTCTCTGACCCCAAGAACAGGATATGCCATTGTACCCCAGGATTAAGATCACTCCCGATTGTCTCCCATTAAATGGTGATCGCTGATCCCTAAATGCACTGTGAGGCGTCCCACAAACCAGGTGGTGCCATCTGGATCCGGAGTCTTGGCACGCTTCGCACTCGCAGCTCATCGCACATCCTTGTGACACAACTCGAAAATAGTCCGTATCACCACCGGATAAACAACACGGAGAGCAGCGTTTCATTTTGTAAAGCAAACTGCGCCAATGTGGTGGCAGCCAGAAGCCCAAAGAGGCAGCCAGGCATCCGAGAAAGAGACCGCAGATCGCACCATGTGTTGCCTTCCTCCGCCAATTGCGATGGCCGACGGAGCAGGGCACGCCCACCGGAGGTGCCAGAAATAGCCGGAATATGGAGAGCAGAGTGCCGAGGAGCTGAGTGCTCAAAAAGGAGGCCTCTCCCAGCATTTCTTGCATATGTGCTCTATGTGCGCCGCGAATCGGACGTCTTAGTTTGGTTACTCAAGAGTTTACGTGGTTTTCGAGTTTGAAAATTCTGTGATTGAATTTGAATATCTAACCATTATATAGCGAATATACAGAAAGTGATACTTGTGATAGTTTAAAAAAGAAAATTGTGTGAAAATGCCCCGCAAGAAACGCGCCTCCAGCCCCTTGGATCTCTACGATGATGACTTTGATGAGGATGCTAGTTCACATAGTAAGTTTATTGGTATTATTTAAGAAAAATATCACAAATATTTTGATTATTATCCACGTTTCTCTAAATCTATTGAAAGTTAAATCTTTGAAGATTTTTTTCTTGAAGTTAAATAAATTCCTTCCATCCAAATCCAGGCTCCCAGCCGCCGGTGCAACGAAATGCGGCAAATGCCCGGGAACGAATGCGGATGCGGGTTTTGTCCAGCGCCTATGGACGTCTGAAGACCAAGCTGCCCAACATTCCGCCGGACACGAAACTCTCCAAGTTGGACACCCTGCGTCTGGCTACGCTGTACATCAAGCAGCTAATCACTGCTGTGGAAACTGGCACCAATGGCAGCCACCACTCCCATCACAGCCACTCACAAAACCATAGCCAGAGTCATGGGCACAGTCACAGCCTGAACCACAGCCACTCGAGTACAGCCAGCTCCGATGGCCTGGACACGAGTCACATGGCAGGAGAGGGTGCCTCTGGAGCAGGCAATTTCCATTTCCATGGCAGCGGGCACGGCATGGTAAGTGTCATTGCAATTGCGATCCCTGTCCCCAATAAGTGATGTCACTGGCACCACTTAACGAGGCATTGCATCCGCAGGTTAAGTTAGGCATCGGAGGCGCATTAATGAGCTTGCCGTCCGGCTGGCCGGCCACTCCAGGTGGATTGCGTCAGACGGATGACGGGTGTCTCGTTGTCGTCGGGGGATACCCCAAAATGATATGCCCAAGTTAATCACAAGCTTTGAGGTTTTCAGTCAAATCGAAACAGGTCGAGATACCTAATTAAATATATACTATTTGCGATTTCAAACTGGATTTAAGTCTTTTGAAATTTGAGTTTATCCAGCTATTAGATTATTAAGAATACCTGTTAGATCTTACTTTCAATTTTTAGTACATAAATCTTTAAGGTATCACTAATAGTTCACTGTTTTTTAACACTTTAAATCTTCAGTATTTGGCTCAAGTCAGATTCTTAAAACATAGTAAAGGAGTCATTTCCGACCCTATAAATCATATATATTCTTGAGCAGAATTAACAGCCAAATCGATTTAGCCGTGTTTGGATGAAAATCATTTTTTCAAATTTTTCAACATTTTATAAGGGGTTACATTGTTAAAATTGTTAAAATTTGACAAAAACGTAGATTTCTAAATTTTAAAACTCTGTATGCAGTTTTGTTAAACTTATAAAAACTAGCATAGAAACGCTTTCCAAATTGAAATTAATACACTTTTGGCTTAGTTATGATGTTTGAAAAACTTTGATTTACTTAAAAAAATTAGCACATAAAAATATGTATTTAATATACATACATATGTACGTAGAATAAAAATATTTTAGATTTTCTTCTAGGTTTGCGAAGGCCAATGAACATATCTTCAATTCGTTTATAATTAGTTAGTAAATCCCAATCAGCGCTCAGTATACCTTCGAGTTGGATTGGGCTTTTAAATTTTTTAATTAGTTAAAATTGGTAACTTTTAAAATCTATTATCAAGCATTACTCAATGTGCCTTGAAGTCTTAAAATTAGTTACCGAATATCCAATATCCACAATATTTATGGTGCAACATCTGCTCAGCCGATTCCGCTACGGCGACAAGTATTTCCACCTTTCTGAGACGGAGGTGGACTCCATTCCCATACCTAGACAAAGATCGGGCCCCCCACTAGCGACCGCTTGAAATCACATTTTGTGATTTCAGACTGCCTTGGCTTTCCTGTAATCGGATACTTTTGTGAATTTCAAAAATATTAAATATGAGTGACAGGCCCATGGAGCTAGGACAGGCGACCTGCAGATCGGGATGGGGATGGAGGAGGGGCATTGGTTAGTCTTTGCTTTTATTTTTAAAGATGCTCACTGGCTCGACTTTGATGCGACAAAGTGAATGACATGCCGGGGAAAGTGTCGCCTCGCGTTGGATAGTTTTTACCACTTCTGATAATTGTAATTAAATTTGTTGCTCGTCCAACCGTGTTTATTCATTCCAAACCGAAGAGTTTACACAAGATTCTTTGCGTAGAACTTATCCAAATAGAGGCGATTGTTTACCCGCCGCCGAATGCGTGAAAATTTCAGCAAATACGGTTCCGTCTTGTGCCCATATGGCGGCAAATCGTATCAGAATGGATGGCATGGGATGGCATTGGGTGGGAGAGTCCCACTCCCGACCCTATCTGCATTTCATCCCATCCTAGCACGCGCCCCGACATGATCCGTTCTGGTGGGAACCCATTTGTTCGCTATTTGCTTTGCTATCCCTAGCAGCCCTATATTTCATTCCTCCTCCCGAGATATTCAGAGCCCACATGAGTGTCTCTTGTCCGCAAGTGTTTGGCTGTTTATGTTTTTATAGATCCGTTAATGAGGCTGTTATTGTAGATCCAGGGAACAAGAGAAGGGACAGAGAGGGGGCACTAAAAACAATCAAAGTTGCGTAAACAAACAATGGCGCTGTCGGACGGACGGGTTGTCGTCATATTGTTCCATTTATAGCTCCGTGCGGTTTCCTCCACTGGCATGATTTATGAAAGCATCATCCACCCATCACATTCTTTCTTCTGATCTTGCAGAGTTGGCCTTTCGAGTTCCATCAGAGCAGTCGCAGCCTGGCCGCCTTCGGTGCGGCGACATCATCCAGCTCCTCCGGCCGCATGGACTGGCAGTCGCTGCATCATCCCATCCAAGCCTATCCGAAAACCACGCGGAGTGAGACCAACGTCCAAGCGGATCTCAGTTACCAGCTGCCGGAGTCCCATGGTCACTGGTATCCAGCGGAAATGCATCAAATGGAGCCCTCGCCCAGCTGTTCCTACGAGACGGGCGTGGGGCACCATCAGCGCGGGATAGCAATAGCCACCAGCCACGCCCACGGTCTATAATGACGCCGCATTTATTAATCGTAAATGTTGTGTTAGCTCCTAGTAATTGTATTAAAACGTGATCTATTTGTATGTATGTGCAACTTAACTTATCACTATAAGGCCAAAGATTGGTGTTACCTCATGATCTGTCAGTTTATTAGCAAATATATATGTATGTTTTGTAATTAAAATCTTCAGTTTGAATTTCTCTTTAGCTGGCGGCAAAAATATTGAGCTTGCATCCCTGGTTGCCTTTGATATGTGCGATAACCCTGGCGAACAGCTGATTGCCGAACCACACACACAAAGACCTGCTAATAACAAAAATAAATATTATGCCAAGTCGGCTTTAGAGTTCTCTTTTGTGAAGAAAGGTTGTTAAATTTGTAAACGAAACTAATTTGAAACACTTAAATTTGCCAAAAATATTTGTTATTCTTTGCATTAAACATTTTAAAGAAGTATTTGGCACAAGAACACAACGAAAAAGGAGATTGGGTTTAATACTCTTAAACTATCCTTTCAAAATCGATATACTCTTCTCACTGGAAGTGTATTTATTTTGTGTATTTAGTAACAAATGTAGTCCAGCAACAATACGCAAGTGAATAATAATTGTTTCAGCAAGCGATTAAATACACACAAAGCAGATCATTACTTGTGTATGCAGGCGGTTAAAGTTCACGTACCCGAGGGCTGGCAACCGCGATTAGATTCCGATCTGGCACGGATCAGATCAGCAGCACCTACTCTACACATAATCTGGACTGGATTGGACGCTACTGTCCCCACTGTGTCGAGCACTTTATGATCGCCAGCGTGCCACTGTGAGTGTGGAAGTGCCTTCTCCGCAGCAATCAGTCAGTGCGCGATACTCACCCAAGACGGACGCTTTGGATTGTTGTTAATCCCAATCCCACACGGAGAAAACCAGTTCACTAAGTGCAACGTGCAAAATGCCAGCCAAAGAAGTTAATCCCGACCTGCAGAAGGAGCGCAACACGGCCACCTTCAATCCACGCGAGTTCTCCGTGCTATGGGCGGGTGGCGAGGACAGATTCCAGGAGAAGAAGACACTGGGTAAGACAACGAAACCACTTGGAGTACTGCAAGGCAAGCTCTACGGGAAAGGTATATTAACCGGTCGCTCAAAGCTTTATCTGTTGAGCTTGGCTTGGCGTTTCACAATCGCCAGTGCAAGAAATTAAAAATTGTGTCAGAAGCATGACTTGGCACTCGAGCTTGGGCCTTACGTAGAGATCTATCAGGTCAAAATTACAAGAAACCAGAAACCATATGAAGTAAATGATTTTTAATCTGTTTGTTCCGGTCCATATTCTGTTCAGATAGGAGTCTTTTACATTTAAATATATATGAGTATATCATTATAATCAAGATCAGGGATTCTCAAGTATTCGCTTACAGTATTAACTAATATTTGCATAGTAAATCTCATAAATATTCATTATACCAGCACATTAATAACAACTCATATTGTTTTTCTAAAATAAGAATATAATAGAATTTATCTAAAGATAATTAGTAAGTTTTCCCAAGTGTATCGACACTAGTTAACATTAGAGAGCCTCTCTTTTAGGGTCGTTTCTGATCTAAACTTACAACTAAGGCTTTCGATTACAATATCGACTTCTTTGTTTTGATTCAGCTTTTCTTTGTCCATTCATTCAGTAGTCGCAGTCCATTCCCCGGTACGGTTCATTAATTATGTATTCCGCATAAACAAACTGCGACAAGTTAATCTGCACCTATTAGCCACCATGCTATGAGCCATTAATCTTTGAACTTCGCACGAATCTTAACCGATTCGGGTTGACGTGCACTTCGCAATGTTTGCCACAGGTCCGCCTCAATCTATTTCCAGTGGCACTCCACTTGAAATTGGTTTAGCTGATAGGTTTATCTGGCCGATTTGACCGGTGGAACAGGGCATCATAAATGGACAATGCCCGGTACGCCAAGGGATAAGTGATGATTGTGGTGACCACTCATGATTACGCAGCGGAATTCGAGCCTGATTAAACCTTTTAAAGTTATAAATCCTATATTAATCCCTTTGACATCAAAACATTAACTTTTTTCTGTTGAACAGAGAAAATGTTTCTGGAGGATCCTGCCCTCGAAGATGACCTCCCCGTTTCCTACTTGTCACACAAGGAGCTATACGAACACAGCCTGCGCAAAGCCTGCATTATTGGCGAAAAGATCCGTAAGCTGAGGGCTGACGGCGAGGATGGTGTGGATACCTACAAGTAAGGGAACCCATCAACTATCCACAGATCCTATAAACTAATTTTACTCTACTGACCAGTGCCCTCCTTGGCGGATCCCTGGGGGCAGCTATCTTGAAAGAGGGCAATCCCCTGACTTTGCACTACGTTATGTTTGTGCCCACCATTATGGGCCAGGGAACGATGGACCAGCAAGTGGAGTGGCTGAGCAAGGCCTGGGACTGTGAGATTATTGGTACCTATGCCCAGACAGAGCTGGGTCACGGAACCTTCCTACGCGGCCTGGAAACCCGGGCTGACTACGATCCCAAGACTCAGGAGTTTGTGATCAACACACCATCCCTGAGTGCCTACAAGTGGTGGCCAGGAGGATGTGAGTTATCTTTATAAACAACAATTAAGCCAATTAACTTATGAACTTTTTTTATATTGCAGTGGGTCACACGGCCAACCATGCGGTGGTGGTGGCTCAGCTCTACACCAAGGGTGAGCACCGTGGCCTTGCCCCTTTCATTGTCCAGCTTAGGGACTCGGACACCCACAAGCCTATGCCTGGCATCGATATTGGAGATATTGGCACCAAGCTGGGCATGAAAGCTGTGAACAATGGCTACTTGGGCCTGAAGAATGTGCGTGTTCCGCTGAATAATATGCTGATGAAGAATCAGCAGGTCCTGCCCGATGGCACCTATGTGGCGCCTAAGAACAGCGTCCTCACCTATGGAACCATGGTAACGATACAATTCTTAGTTCACTCAGAGCAGGACGTTTACCCATCTCTCCTTTTTGTAGATGTTTGTCCGTTGCGCCCTGATCCGTGACACCGCCCAGAGTCTGGCCAAGGCATCTACCATTGCTACCAGGTACTCCGCCGTGCGTCGCCAGAGCCCCATTGATCCCAATCAACCGGAGCCCCAAATCATGGAGCACACCACACAGCAGCTCAAGTTGTTCCCGCAGATAGCCAAGGCCATTGTTTTCAAAACAACGGGCGATGGCATCTGGAACATGTACAACGTTATTTCCGGGGAGATCGAGCAAGGCAATTTGGACCGCTTGCCCGAAATGCACGCCCTCTCCTGCTGTCTGAAGGCCATCTGCAGTGCGGACGCCGCCGCCGGTGTGGAGACGTGTCGTCTTTCGTGTGGTGGCCATGGATTCATGGACTGCTCTAACTTCCCCACAATTTACGGTATGACCACCGCCGTGTGCACCTATGAGGGTGAGAACACTGTGATGCTTCTGCAGACGGCTCGTTATCTGGTAAAGGTGTATGGTCAGGCTCTGAACGGAGAGAAACTGGTGCCAACGGTGGCCTATATAAATGATGCTCTGAGCCAACAGAAGTTTGTCAACTTTGACGGCTCCTTGGAGTCTATTGTGAAAGCATTCCAGTTCGTTGCTGCCAAGTAAGAAAAGTTTGGATTATCCTATAAAAGATTTGTACATTTAGTTTGATCCTTTAGCAAAACCCGTATTGCCTATGAGCAGCTTGAATTGCGTCGCAAGCAGGGACACGGTACTGAGGTGGCAGCCAATCTGTGCGGAACCTTCCTGACAGCAGCAGCAGATGTGAGTCTATATAGCCCTATGATCGTTTTAATTATAAATACTTATATCTGCCATGCGATTATAGCTTCACGGACGCGCCTTCCTGGCCCAGACTGCCTATACGGAATTGCTGGAAGTTTCGCGACAGGTCTCTCCCGCCCTGGCCGATGTGCTGAAGGTGGTGCTGGAGCTGTACCTGGTGGATGCCTGTCTCAACCGTATTGGGGACTTCCTAAGGGTATGATTTCCCAGCTTTCCCAACCCCTGCCATTTTAACCTACTTTGGCATTTACAGTTCATCGAACTCACGGATCAAGATGTAACCAAGCTGGAGGTCCGCTTGGAGAGCTGCCTGAAACGATTGCGTCCGAACGCTGTCACCCTGGTTGACAGTTTCGATCTGCACGATCGCGTACTGGATTCTGCCCTAGGGGCCTACGATGGCAATGTTTACGAGCATATTTTCGAGTCGACCAAGAAGAATCCGCTGAACAAGGAACCAGTGAACGGATCATTCCACAAGTACTTGAAGCCTTTCATGAAGGCTCACCTGTAAACAATTCCAGCTGATTATTGCTCGTGAATTGTCCTCACTACTGTTACTATTGTAAATATAACTTGTATGTTTGTATTGTTTTCGTATTCCGCAACTGTTTTGCTTAGCAATAGGTCTGAAAGACAAACGAAATGATGGCTTGTGCAGTTGAAACTAGGCTTTAAATAAACAGAATTTCAATAAAAATTCAATATTTAGTGTGTTTGTGTTATTGATCTTAACTAAATCGCTTTATTAAAGTGGTTTCTTTCAGATGAAGGAGTTCCAAGATGGAGAGTGACTCTGTGATTGACTTCAAGCACTGACCTACGAAGTCGAACTACCCTTTGAGGTGCGCTGTGCGTATAGACGCCTTAGCAACCGATTGCCAGCCAGGAATGTGAATACTGCGATGGGGATGAGCAAGCGCAGTGTCTGGAACATGTCCAGCTGCAGCCAGAACACGAAAAACAGCACCAGAATTCCACCGAAGCCCGCATGGAAGCCGAGTGTGCTGGGCGCCAGCGTCAGGTTAGACACATTGATGCCCAGCTTGCCCCAGAAAACGAAGAGCAGTACCAACGGGGTGATGCACAGTCCGGTGAAGATGTCCGAGACAATGCGGGGCGGGCGCTTGTCTGGCACACGGAACTGATGCACAATTTCGGGCAGGGGACCCGAAGTGGTCTTGGGCTTGACTTCTGCAAGGGATTAGAAGATTACTGTCTGGTTTTTTAAATTTTATTATTCAACTTACCCTTATCCTCGTTGAATTTCAGTTGAACTTCGGCCACCAGCCACTCAAAGGAGTTGGACAGCGAGGCATCACCCACGGTCAGGTAGATGCTATAGGTGCCGCTCTGGTAGTTGAAGTTCTTGCCGTTGTTACCCACATCCATGTCGAACTTGTATGCCTTGCTGCTGTCCTGCTCGGCCACAAAGATTATCTCCTTGTCAGTCTTTTTGTTGTGCAGACGAACGAAAGCCTGGTGGACAGCCAGGGACTTGCCGGTGGACTCCTCGACGAGCACAGCCTTCAGTAGCAGCTTCTGGGTGCTGTCGGCGGAGAGGACCTCCTTCAGTTTGCCAGGATAGTTGACGGTCTGCTTGCGGGTGGCTGCACTGGCATCAGACTCGGCAATGCCCAGCTCAAGGGACTGAACCTTGACGCGTCCGAGCACCTTGAACTGCAGGGTCTGCGTGTACACACCGTCGGCACTGAGTTCCGCTTGGTAGGTTCCGCGAGCCGGCTTCAAGCTGGCCAGGTCGGCAACGTAGGTGGTCTTGTCGGACGATTTTGAAGCCACAGTCACTTTCTCAGCCAACACGGATTTGTCCTTGCGGATCACCTTGGCGGTGATGGACTTGGGAGCTGGCGATAAGGGCTTGCCCAGCAGATCGACCACAGCCACGTTCAGAGTAGGAGACTGGGACTCCAGCTGTCCGTTGCCAATGAGCTGAATGCACACGGGAGCAATCTTCTCGGCTCCACTGATGGTCTTCAGAGCCTCGATCAGCACATGAGCTCCCTTGGCGGTTTGGACGGATCGCCGGCTCAGGAAGTAGTTGGCAAACTTTACAGCCTGTTCGGCAGTAACTGGCGATGGCTTGTTAAAGCTCTTGGTCACGCCGAAGGCACCGTTGATAATCAGGGATGTGATGCTGAGACCGCCTTCAAACTGCAGCAGCTTGCCGTCCACTTCATCTGCCTGCACGATTGCATCCTCAACCCTATTGGCAATGAAGGAGGCACTACTTCCGAGCTGAGTGGCCACGTTGAAAGCATAGCCCAGTCCGGTAAGGGTATCGTCTTTCTTGAGCAGCTCCTGAAGCCGTTTCACTACCTTTGCTTGCGTGGCCTCATTGATCGCCACTCCGAGGATCTTGTGGGTCACCACTCTGTAGAAGATCTCCTGGCTGCTGCCCAGATCTGAGTTCAAAGATGCGTACACCTTGGAGAGTAGCGCTTCGTCCAGCTTGGTCGAGCATCCCAGGTTCTTGCTAGCACCAATATAATAATAGTCCTTCTCGAAGCTCTGGAATATGTTACAAGAGCATTAATACGTAAAAATGGGCGTGTCTGCGAAGTACCCACGTTCAGCTTGGACTCCGCATGCAGCGTTGCAATCTTCTTGCACAGCGGCTCCTTCTGTGTGGCATCGGTCAGCTGAATGTTAAGGCTGGAGAAGAAGATGGACTGGAGGTCGCTGGAACCGAAGCCATCAACGAAAACCTTTTGCAGGCGGGTGAGATCCTTGGGCCCCAGATGGCTGTCCACGGTGCGGGCGCTCCACGTCAGCCCGCAGGCGACCAGCACGCAGAGGAGCGTCAGACCTGGTAGGGGGAACAGAAAAAAGTGAGATTCTAAGTAGCCGGCAACTGCTGTTAACCACAAAAACCCGACAGCGACGCCGGGAGACCGCTGACCTTCATGCAGCCGGCGTTTTCTGCCGGTGGCTTTGGGGTCATGTTTACCGACCGAAGGGCTGCCCAATCTACCCACCTAGCTTTAACATTTTCCTATACTGGGGATCGCGCTTCCACACGCCACTTATTTTCTATTAGGGAATTTTTCAGACACGTCACATATAGAGCCGGTGTAGCTTGGAAAGTGTAGTGTGCCCGCCTGATTTTTTGCAGAAAAACCCAAAATGACTTCGGTCACACCCGCTTGGTGTGGTGTAGTTTTCATGAATATTCTCCTTTCTTCGGGTCTTCGGGATATATAATAAAGATTTGGGTGCCAAATACACAACAAATTCTTTTGTTATGCTCCTTGTAAAAAAAAAATCCCTAGGATCTAAAAAGGGACCTCTGACAGAGTGCAAGATGAAGCCGGTACAAACAGTGCTGCCAGACTAATAGAAAAAACAAGGCAATGAAACCGTTACGACTATCGTTTAATGTTAACGATAGCAAGCCGATGGAACATCGATTTCTTTATGTTTATCTAACTATAAAAATCAATAGGTGTTTTTAAAAAATCAAGCTGAGATTAAAGGGTATTCTAATTATAGTTATATGTTTGCAAAACAGTAAAGAAGTCATTTCTGACACCATCAGAATTAAAAGGAGTTAATCTAGCCATGTCCGGTCGAAATATAAATTTACTACAGTTTTTCGAAAATTCGAACTTATATAAGTTTTATATTCTTTTTTTATATTTTGAAAACCTGCAAAAAATTAGCATGAGAGTGCTATCCGCATTGAAATTAATCAATTTTTAGCTAAGCAATGATTTCAAATTGGCCAAAATTATAGACAAAAATGCATTAATTTCAATTTGGGAAGCGTTCTTATGTTGTTGTAACCCCTTTCCTTTTTTTCAAAAATGGGGAACTTCTGAAAAAATGTTTTTCGCCCGAATACAGCTGAAAAGATTCCTATGTTGATGCTGATAAAGAAGATATATAGTTTATAGGGTGGGAAATGACTCCTTCACTGCGTTTTAATCTTCTGACTGAAGCTATAATCTGCAAAAAGGTATAAAAACAGGCAATTTTCTTTAAAAAAAACTGAGTTTTCAAACATCATAATGAAGCCAAAATAGCATTAATTTTGAATCGGAAAGCTTTTCTGTGCCAGTTTGTATAGCACTAACAAATCTGCATACTGCGTTTATTGACGCTGTTATAAGTTTCTGACTTAAATTATAAAAACCCGCAAAAAGGTATAAAAACACAATTTTTTCCAAAAATCATAGTTTAAAAAACTCATAACTAAGCCAAAAAATCATTAATTTTAATTCGGAAAGCTGTTCTATGCTAGTTTTTAGTAGATTAACAAAGCTGCATACTCAGTTTGTTGTCAAATTTTGGCAATTTTAATGATGTAACCCCTTATAAAATTTTCAATTTTCGGAAAAATGCCAAAAATTTATTTTTCGACCGGACAAGGCTAGAACGATTGGGCTGTTGATGCTGATCAAGAATATATATGGTTTATAGGGTCGGAAATGACTCCTTCACTGCGTTTTAATCTTCTGACTGAAGCTATAATCTGCAAAAAGGTATAAAAACAGGCAATTTTCTTAAATAATCTGAGTTTTCCAAACATCATTATTAAGCCAAAATAGCATTAATTTTGAATCGGAAAGCTTTTCTGTGCCAGTTTTTATAGCACTAACAAATCTGCATACTGCGTTTGTTGACGCTGTTATAAGTTTCTGACTTAAATTATAAAAACCCGCAAAAAGGTATAAAAACAGACAATTTTTTCCAAAAATCATAGTTTAAAAAACTCATAACTAAGCCAAAAAATCATTTATTTTAATTCGGAAAGCTGTTCTATGCTAGTTTTTAGTAGATTAACAAAGCTGCATACTCAGTTTTCAAATTTAAAAAATTCAATTTGTTGTCAAATTTTGGCAATTTTAATGATGTAACCCCTTTTAAAATTTTCAATTTTCGGAAAAATGCCAAAAATTTATTTTTAGACCGGACAAGGCTAGAACGATTGGGCTGTTGATGCTGATCAAGAATATATATGGGTTATAGGGTCGGAAATGACTCCTTCACTGCGTTTTAATCTTCTGACTGAAGCTATAATCTGCAAAAAGGTATAAAAACAGGCAATTTTCTTAAATAATCTGAGTTTTCCAAACATCATAATTAAGCCAAAATAGCATTAATTTTGAATCGGAAAGCTTTTCTGTGCCAGTTTTTATAGCACTAACAAATCTGCATACTGAGTTTGTTGACGCTGTTATAAGTTTCTGACTTAAATTATAAAAACCCGCAAAAAGGTATAAAAACAGACAATTTTTCCCAAAAATCATTAATTTTAATTCGGAAAGCTGTTCTATGCTAGTTTTTAGTAGATTAACAAAGCTGCATACTCAGTTTTCAAATTTAAAAAATTCAATTTGTTGTCAAATTTTGGCAATTTTAATGATGTAACCCCTTATAAAATTTTCAATTTTCGGAAAAATGCCAAAAATTTATTTTTCGACCGGACAAGGCTAGAACGATTGGGCTGTTGATGCTGATCAAGAATATATATGGTTTATAGGGTCGGAAATGACTCCTTCACTGCGTTTTAATCTTCTGACTGAAGCTATAATCTGCAAAAAGGTATAAAAACAGGCAATTTTCTTAAATAATCTGAGTTTTCCAAACATCATAATTAAGCCAAAATAGCATTAATTTTGAATCGGAAAGCTTTTCTGTGCAAGTTTTTATAGCACTAACAAATCTACATACTGCGTTTGTTGATGCTGTTATAAGTTTCTGACTTAAATTATAAAAACCCGCAAAAAGGTATAAAAACAGACAATTTTTCCCAAAAATCATTAATTTTAATTCGGAAAGCTGTTCTATGCTAGTTTTTAGTAGATTAACAAAGCTGCATACTCAGTTTTCAAATTTAGAAAAATCCAATTTGTTGTCAAATTTTGGCAATTTTAATGATGTAACCCCTTATAAAATTTTCAATTTTCGGAAAAATGCCAAAAATTTATTTTTCGACCGGACAAGGCTAGAACGATTGGGCTGTTGATGCTGATCAAGAATATATATGGTTTATAGGGTCGGAAATGACTCCTTCACTGCGTTTTAATCTTCTGACTGAAGCTATAATCTGCAAAAAGGTATAAAAACAGGCAATTTTCTTAAATAATCTGAGTTTTCCAAACATCATAATTAAGCCAAAATAGCATTAATTTTGAATCGGAAAGCTTTTCTGTGCCAGTTTTTATAGCACTAACAAATCTGCATACTGCGTTTGTTGATGCTGTTATAAGTTTCTGACTTAAATTATAAAAACCCGCAAAAAGGTATAAAAACAGACAATTTTTCCCAAAAATCATAGTTTAAAAAACTCATAACTAAGCCAAAAAATCATTAATTTTCATTCGGAAAGCTGTTCTATGCTAGTTTTTAGTAGATTAACAAAGCTGCATACTCAGTTTTCAAATTTAAAAAATTCAATTTGTTGTCAAATTTTGGCAATTTTAATGATGTAACCCCTTATAAAATTTTCAATTTTCGGAAAAATGCCAAAAATTTATTTTTTGACCGGACAACGCTAGAACGATTGGGCTGTTGATGCTGATCAAGAATATATATGGGTTATAGGGTCGGAAATGACTCCTTCACTGCGTTTTAATCTTCTGACTGAAGCTATAATCTGCAAAAAGGTATAAAAACAGGCAATTTTCTTAAATAATCTGAGTTTTCCAAACACCATAATTAAGCCAAAATAGCATTTATTTTGAATCGGAAAGCTTTTCTGTGCAAGTTTTTATATCACTAACAAATCTGCATACTGCGTTTGTTGATGCTGTTATAAGTTTCTGACTTAAATTATAAAAACCGCAAAAAGGTAAAAAACAGACAATTTTCCAAAAATCATAGTTTAAAAAACTCATAACAACCAAAAAATCATTAATTTAATTCGAAAGCTGTTCTATACTAACAAATCTGCATACTGCGTTTGTTGATGCTGTTATAAGTTTCTGACTTAAACTATAAAAACCCGCAAAAAGGTATAAAAACACACAATTTTTCCCAAAAATCATAGTTTAAAAAACTCATAACTGAGCCAAAAAATCATTAATTTAATTCGGAAAGCTGTTCTATGCTAGTTTTTAGTAGATTAACAAAGCTGCATACTCAGTTTTCAAATTTAAAAAATTTGTTGTCAAATTTGGCAATTTTAATGTTGTAACCCCTTATAAAATTTTCAATTTTCGGAAAAATGCCAAAAATTTATTTTTCGACCGGACAAGGCTAGAACGATTGGGCTGTTGATGCTGATCAAGAATATATATGGGTTATAGGGTCGGAAATGACTCCTTCACTGCGTTTTAATCTTCTGACTGAAGCTATAATCTGCAAAAAGGTATAAAACAGGCAATTTTCTTAAATAATCTGAGTTTTCCAAACACCATAATTAAGCCAAAATAGCATTTATTTTGAATCGGAAAGCTTTTCTGTGCAAGTTTTATATCACTAACAAATCTGCATACTGCGTTTGTTGATGCTGTTATAAGTTTCTGACTTAAATTATAAAAACCCGCAAAAAGGTATAAAAACAGACAATTTTTCCCAAAAATCATAGTTTAAAAAACTCATAACTAAGCCAAAAAATCATTAATTTTCATTCGGAAAGCTGTTCTATGCTAGTTTTTAGTAGATTAACAAAGCTGCATACTCAGTTTTCAAATTTAAAAAATTCAATTTGTTGTCAAATTTTGGCAATTTTAATGATGTAACCCCTTATAAAATTTTCAATTTTCGGAAAAATGCCAAAAATTTATTTTTCGACCGGACAAGGCTAGAACGATTGGGCTGTTGATGCTGATCAAGAATATATATGGGTTATAGGGTCGGAAATGACTCCTTCACTGCGTTTTAATCTTCTGACTGAAGCTATAATCTGCAAAAAGGTATAAAAACAGGCAATTTTCTTAAATAATCTGAGTTTTCCAAACATCATAATTAAGCCAAAATAGCATTAATTTTGAATCGGAAAGCTTTTCTGTGCCAGTTTTTATAGCACTAACAAATCTGCATACTGCGTTTGTTGATGCTGTTATAAGTTTCTGACTTAAATTATAAAAACCCGCAAAAAGGTATAAAAGCAGACAATTTTTCCCAAAAATCATAGTTTAAAAA